CGGCTGCGATTTTTATTAGTTTTTCTTGTTGTTCTGCCGCTCGGTGATGCACACAATTCGCGCATGTATTACTGGACATACACCGCAGGTGTACTGACAGCTCTAATAATCTATCCCTGAGAAAGCGGCTGTGATTTTTATTAGTTTCTCTTTTGTTGTTCTGCCGCTCGGTGATGCAACAATTCGCGCATGTATTACTGGACATACACCGCAGGTGTACTGACAGCTCTAATAATCTATCCCTGAGAAAGCGGCAAATGCAAAGGAATATACGATTGGTTTACTGCATACCAGTGAAGGCTGCGTGCGTTTGTGGGGATGATTGTTGTCCTTGTGCGACCCAGCAGCATGTGCCGAGGTCTTCTTGTCTATTATCTTGTGTGTTTGTATCTGTACATGTATCTCTCCGTCTTTGCCTGCTGCTTGCGCACTTTCAAATTTCTCCTCCTGTTTGCTTGCATGGGGCGAGTTCCGTGCATTCGAATGCTGTATATGCAGTACATGGCTGCTTATGAGTGTCAACGTTGCCCTGCCTTCTGCGCAAGCCTGCTAGTTTTCGTGCATGCCTAACATTGAGGTTTCCTGGGTCATGGTTGAAGAAAAGAAGCAAAACTGGCCGTTTTGACGTTTTTTCGACGTGGCAGTGCTCTTTTATGTTCTTCTTCTTGCCTTTGTGCCTTACTATTCCGTCGTTCTGTGTACTTGTTTTCACGGTGCCAGTGTCTTCCGACCATGTTTGCTTGTCATGATTTTTGTGCCCTTTTCACCTGTTTGTGACCGGTTGCCTCCGTGCACACTTTCTGTAGTCCGCCTTTTTTGTCACTTGCGCGCCTTTGCCGTTTGTTTGCCGCCTTGCTCTGTAGCTTCTCTTTTGTGTTTGCCTGCTTGCGTCAGCTAGTCTGAGATGCATCTCCTCTACTTGACCCTGTCTCGCTCTCACGTATACTAGGACTAGTGTTTGGCTGCCATAATCTCGCGCGCTATGTGTGTTTGTGCCTGCAGATGGCGTAACAACGGTACACGACTTCAGTCCAGTTTTAAATTCAGTAACATGCGGATTTAGTCTAACAGCATCCACCCTAGCCAGCAGCTGGCTAGCAATACAAACTCCACAAGCCACAGACGCCGCCAGCTGCTGCTGCTCGGCCTGCTCGGCCTTGCCAGCAGCTGCGGGGCGTGGTGGGAGGCCCCAAAATGCGTTGCAGCAAGCTTGAAGCCCCTGTGGCTCAAGCGCTGCAGCACATAGCGGTGGCCAGTGGTCACCCCTGTTTTTTTACAAGTGAATCGGGAACCACTTTGGCTCTAGGGCCTCAGTACTTGTGAATACAGGCGAACAAAAATACATTGCTAAAAAACATTTAAAAAGTGTCCTAATTCAAACCAGCACCATGAGATGCACCGCCAGCAGAACGCAGCGCCTGCAGTCATTGCAATGCGCTCAATGCAGCGAAACTGCAGCAGCAGCAGCTGCTGCTCGCTCCTGCCGCAATGGCTCCTGCTGCTGTTCGCTCGGGGCACGGACTGTGCGCCCGGGATGCAGCCCCAGGCACCTGCTGAGCAACCACTGCGACACTCCATACCAGTCCGAGAAGTCCTGTGCACCAGCGTCTGCAGCAACCACTGCAACACTCCATACCAGTCCCGTAGTCTTGTGCACCAGCGTGTGCTGCTGCTGCGCGCTGCACCAGTTGCTGCAAGAGTTGCTACAGCAACGAAAAGCAGCAGGTGCAGTCCTCACTGTCTTTGCTACAAGTGGCTGCACGAGGTGACTATTCACCCTACATAACCTGGGCGGCACCGTACGCGAGATCGGTGTGCTGCTGCTGCATTTTCTGCTGCTGCAGCTGGTTGGTCCCCTGCAAGGCCTGCAAATTCGGGCCCTTGAGGCCAAGCTGTTGCTGCTGCTCGTGCTGCTGCGCCAAAGCCACCAGGTGCAGCAGCTGCTGCACCCGCGCAAAGTCGCAGTGCGGAGCCCAGTAACATAAAGCCGATAGCTCAACTGTTTCTGTTGCTCCAGAAAGCAAGTGCAGCAGCTGCCCCTCGGAGCCCACGCCGAGCGCCCACTCTGCTAATTTGCATGTACACCCGAGACACCGCGCCAGCTGAAACGGGGTTTTGCGAGGATCTGCTGCTGTTGCTGCTGCTGCTGCAGCTGCTGGCGACGCGGCAGCAGCGGCCGGCACAGCAGGAGCGGGGGGCAGCGTGCCCGCTTCCTGAAGCGACTCGACAATTCGCTGCACTAGGCAAGCAGCAGCAGCAGCACACAGGCCTTTGACAGCAGCAGCAAAAGCAGGGGAGTCAAGAACGTCCCGCGCCTCCTGCAGCAGCAGCAACACCTGCCCCGCTGCAGCCGGAGGCAAAGCAGCAAGATCGTTGCTGTCTAAAGACTCCTCCTCCGGCAGCAGCAATGCTGCATACCCGTACTCATCCTCCACAAAGTCACCTGCACCTACAGCCGATGCTGCTGCTGCTGCTGCTGCTGCTTCTGCTGCTACTGCTGCGCTGGCACTTGCCGCTGCCGCTGCTGCAGCATTTTTGGAAATGTCAATGTCTTCGAAACCTGGGGGACTACTGTGCATTTGTTGCCGCCTGATTGCTTGCTGCTGCTGCTGCCGCCACTGCTGCTGCGTTGCTTCTCTGCAGAGTCGCGAACACATTCTGCACATGATTTGCTGCAGCTGCTGCTGTAGCAGCTCCGCCGTTATCGCCTTTTGCGGGGGGAAGACGGAGACAAAAGCACAAACCTCGGAGAGTGCTGCTGCAGCAATTCGCGATATGACTGCAGCTGAAGCAGCACGGCGAGTTGAGGAAAGAAAGACGAAGTTCTGCTCGTGCTGGCGCTGCTGCTCTTCCTGCTGCTGCTGTTCGTTCTGCTGCTGCTGCTCTTTCTGCAGCAATGCCGCAGCGAGGATGTTGACTTGGACGCGGTGCAGCAGCAGCAGCAGCAGCAGCAGCACGGTGCAGCTGACCGTCCGTGCCACCACATTAGCGCACAACTCTCTAAAACATACTTCCTTCTGCTGCGGCGTCATCCTGCTGCACTGCTGCGGCTCTCTAAGAACTCGCGTGTATGCGTCTACGGGGAATGCTGCCTCCAGCTGCTGCTGCTGCTGCCGCTGCACCTCCCTGAGAAGCAGCAGCAGCGAAACATCCGACACGCACTGGTTGCGTACGAAGTGAAATGCAGCAACCCACTCCGCCTCCGTCACCTGCTGCTGCTGTTGCTGCTCCTGCTGCTGCTGCCGCAGCTGAGTCAACTCCCCCTCACTCAGTCCCAACTCCTTCAGTAGCAGCTGACTTAATTCCCCATCGTCGGCGTCTAGCAAAGCAGCAAGCCTCTTGTGGTGTTTGTAGATTTTTGCTGCTACTGCTCCTGCAGCAGCTACTGCTGCAGCAGCTGCCGCACCCGCCAGCACTTTGTACGGGTGGCGCTTCACAGAGCCCCACAGCCGGGACAGCATCTTTGCTGTTGCTGCTGCGGCGGGGCTTCGATGTGAAGAAATTACCTCCGGCAAGCAAAACAGGGGCTGCTCCAGCAGCCGCAACAAAAGCCTGCACTAGCTGCAGCTCCCGCTGCTAATATTGATTACACCCACACTCACGGGGCTGGGCGCTGCTTGGAAAAAGAGACTTGGATGATGGCGTTCAGCCGCACTTGCCACTGCAGTTGCTGCTCTGGTCAACAGTGCTGCTGCTGCTGCTGCCACGCCAACCCCACAGTCTCCTTCCCCACGTGTCGTTACGTCTGTGGCTGCCATAGGGAGCTAAGGGCAAGTGAAATATCGGGGGAGTCCGGATGCAGCAGCTGCTCCTGCTGCGGCGGTGGCCGCTGCTTCTCCGGCTTGTGCACGTACACCTCAGGGCAGGCACAGACTTGACGAGGAAGAGGCCACAAAGCCGTAACCCCAAACACCAAACCCCAAACTAGAGCCTAAGGCGTGAGCATCAGGGAACAAAGCCCCGACAAAATGTAGGGAGGCTGCTTCTGCTGCAATGCTGCCACAGCCTGCTAGGGTCCGTCACGACACAGCAGCAGCAGCAGCAGCAGCAGGCCCGCTCACAAGGGGGCCCACCGCCATATGCAGGCTCTTTCTAGAAAAGATGAAGACGAAAAATGAAATGCGAAAGAGTTCTCAATATTATTTTAACACATCGAAACTTCCTTACGAATAGCTTACAAGTAGGGCGCAGCTCTACTGCTGCAGAGGCTGCTGATGAAGGCATCAGCTATGTGGCCGCTTCTACACTTGGCTCCGGTTCTTCCTGTAGTTTCCAAAGCTTGCGTCTCTGATACCAATGCTGAAACAATTACCTCCTGCCCTTGTCTGCGGCTCTTTTTCCCCCTGCAGTGGATCCGGCACCTCGCCCGAGCAGAAGTGGGTGATGGAACTTCTGTTGCGGGAGATAAGCGGAAACGTTACACGCATGGACGTGAAAGACTAACGACTCCTGAAATATTGTTTGCCGATGTTGGACATGTAAGAGGGAGGCGCTACCGCGTCTCTAAGGCCGCGCTTGCAGGAGGAGGAGCAGCAGCAGCAACAGCAGCAGCATAGCTGTGTGCAGGCAGACGGCTAGCTGCAGCGGTCATCTACGCGCTGTAAATGAGTGTGTTTCGGTAAACGTAATTAACAGCCTGCAACGTGGGCTGTCCAATATCCTAATTCTAGCTTGAGAGAGTCTAGGAGCGTGTGCCTGGAGCAGGCCCCGCCGGTCTAGTGGCTTGTGCTCTTGAGGGGCTTAGTCACCTCCACAGAACGGGTTCCCTATGGGGAAAGATTAGACAGTAAGCGCCGGAACTTGGCATGAATACCTGATGTTTATGAAGGAATATCAAGTAGTGAGGCTTTCATTTTGGGAACCCGCACGGGGCTGGACGAACCTGCATACGAGAACAGAGCGTCTCATAACAAGGCCATAATCGTAAGATACGAGCCCTTCCTCGTTGGCATCTCTAAATAGTGCTCTGAATACAAATTGAAAGGAACGGGGGGACCAAAATAACTGGAGGGTGCTTCGCCGTTCCATCCTAGTGGGGGAGGCAGGCTTCTTTGGCTATCATTAGATTACCAAGCGCACACTTACGAATGAAAAAGAGCAATCATCTAATTTGAATTTCTTCGTTCTTCCAAATACTTGAATGAAAACGGTATGCAAGGTGCTAGGCTACAGCTTGTGACGCTACACCTTGCGAGGGCTCAGCACAGCCCTAGGCACCCATGTAGTTACGGGCAAGCACGAGCAAATCAACTTGGCATAATTCAAGAAAGATTTGCGCTTCTATGCTAGTTAAGGAGGATCCTAATGCGTTCTATATGTTGGAAAATGAACAAAACAAACCCGGCTCTAAGGGCGTAAAAGCTGAGGGCGGAGCAAAGAATGTACATAATAGTAAATTAACAACGCAAGCTGAGGCATCCAGATGACTAAGGCGGTTGTAAGAAGTTTTTTAGACTTTCGTAGAGCCTTAACCCTCTAGAAAAACGCCGGCCCTTCGTGGCGGTGTGTCCGAGTGGTTAAGGAGGTAGACTAGAAATCTACTGGGCTCTGCCCGCGCAGGTTCGAATCCTGCCGCCGTCGTCTCATCATTGGTCTTTCCTCTAGGGACCTTCACTAGTTCTTATGGGATTGGCAATGCCCATCCAGTGAAATACACTGGTTCTTGGTACGCGCAATGTCCTACATAAGTTATGCCTTTTCAAGAATTTACCGTACCTACCTTGTTATTTTTTTTTCGATACAACGAAGAGTACTTTGTTGCTTTCTTTAATGTTGTATATCAGAGCTTCCCTAATGCTTCAGGCTGAAAATCTGAGCCTTCTACAAAGTCTTGCAATATCATGCAGCACAAATACACCAGCTGCATTCAGCGCCTGCCTGCAGAAAGCAGAGCACTGCAGAAAAAGGCTGTTTTTGTTTAGCGGGGGTGCCTTTGACTAACCGCAGGTTAGTCGTAGGGATACCACGTCAACAAATAGGACTGCCATTCTTAAAGGCAACCAAACTCAATAAAGGCTGGACTATAAAGCCTATACTCTGCTTCTTGCAGAAGGTATTTGCTCTTGACATAGCTGGCCATCAAGAGGAATTTCCGGCTCCACCGTGCACCACCGTGTTACTTCCATCCAGTCACGCTTACATATGCCATAGTCCCTGTGCCTGAGCACTGTTTCTGCGTTGGCACGGGCGCTCGACGCTCCTGATTGTTGCTGTCCCGCGCCTAAGCGGTAAATGCTCCCACTCGCTCTGCATCCGGTGCTTCTTAGGCTCTGAAAGCTCATCTAGTTACCCCCAAACAACGCAGAGAACACTTGGTAAGCTCATGGACTCTTACTAAGTTTACGTAGACCATAGACTATTCATCTCCCTACGTGTCGATTTCCCGTTATCTGCGTCTGTCCATTAGACGGAAGTGGGGGTTATTTTGGCCACTGTGCAGCTCTTCTTTTTGTTTTGAAAACCCTACGCTGTGTCTTTCACGTGTTAGAGATGCCGCTGGAATGCCAGTTTTGGGAAGTGCATCACTAAAAAAAGCAAATTCGTAGAATCAGTAGCTGGAAACTTATAACCTTTTGACTGAATAGTTTTTCCAACTATCAGACCAAGATGCAGAAAAATTGTCCATTACAAAACGTTCCCACACTTTCCCATTCATTACGAATAGTTAGTTGACAAATAGGAGGCATATCAAAGCTAGGACAGTATTCACATTTGCATTTATATCTATATCTGTAAATGTGCATGTATATAGTAATGCATATAGTTGTGTGTTTACGTGTGTGTATGCGTACCTGTATCACTATTCCGCTTATGCACAACTGTTAATTTGTGCTAATTCGCACTTGTTGTCTTGGCATAACATTTACTGGCTAGGATTGCAAGAGCAAGCGCAGCGAGTTCATTATATCTGTTGAACTACTTCGCTACAACCGCAGTACTTCTCACAAGCGTGGCTCTCAAGGTTTCGGATGCCAGAACATTACTTTCACGCACCTGGAACAAGTGCACTATTGGACATATAATGTAGCCTACTTGAAATGAGGCTGAAAGCAGCATCTCCGGAAAAGCATTATACAAGCTTGCAGCTCTTGTTTAATTGCATAGGCCTTCTCAAATCTACCTGTTTAATGCTGAACATTGGGCAGATATCTGCGTGTCGAAGAATGTTAATGCTGGATCTCAGGAAAGCCCTGATTTACAGAAGTACTGAGCAACACTTCAAATATATTTCTACGAGAAGGACGGGAAACTGCCAGTTATTTATACCGAAGGGATGAATGTTACTGGGCGTGGGTACCGAGCCAGTGGTCCAGTACTTCGAAGTGTTATAGCTGCGAAATATTATGTTTGAAGATTCAACATTAGAATATGAATAATGGGGAATGTGTCGAAGCCGGCGACGCCACGCTCCTGGTGGAGAAGAAAGAACAGATGCGTGGAAAAGTCTCAGTGTTAAAGGAAGCACTTTTCTTAATGCGTTCTCCGCAGCATGAGCCTCTATTAACTCTTTTTTCTATGCTGGTCCCTACTCGAAAACAATGTATGGAGCTACTCTTTATGAAAGACACAACGTAGTGGCGTTCTTGGGTAGCAGGAAACCTTAGAGCCACACGAACGCCATAGGGCATGCAACAGAAGCTGGCGTGTTTTCCGCTGTTGCCTTTTTATCACCAATATGCTCAAAGGTGGTGAGCTGCTGTTGGAATTAGACCCATACCCTATGTGCTGACTTCTTGCGTGCTCCTTGCAAGTAGCAAGCATCTATGTCAGGTTCATAAGGCTCTTGATTCACTCTTTGCTGCATACGGCATACAGTGAAACATTATCGGAAGCATACCTTCAGAATTATTCATCAAGTCACCAACACCCGTACTGCATGGGCGGTGCCTGCTCAGAGACCTTGTGTATGCACGACTTATGGAGGGAATCATGAGGCCAAGGGACAGGAATTCCTACCTGCGTAGACGTGATATGGACGCAAGAAGTGAGCGAATATATTGGCTCAAAATTTGGATCTTCTCCAAGAGAAGATCTTGGTTTAGTATTTGCCTCTAATCGCGACGCGGAGAACGGAGGTGACCTTCACAATCTTCTTGAAGGTCCGGTAAAGGGGCAAAAGCGACCCTTCCCCCTTCCTCTCATTAATCTGTTCAAGTGATTGTGCTTTTTCTGGTCGTGTTTCAGATAAATTTAGTGCTTGGCTGGGAGATGGCGGTGCAGTCGCTCTGCTCAACTTCCAGGTACCTCTGGCGATCTGCCTCTACTCCGCCCTGAGATGCCGGGGAATTGAATGGTCCCTGCGCACAATCTTGGCGCCTACGCAGTCCTAACCTCGGCTGAAACTGACAAAAACATTTAAGCATTACTAAAGCCATGCACAGAGCGCAACAAGAGGGGAACCTACATAATAGCCTAGGTGAACTGTAATGGGCGCAGGCGTGCCGTCATGGGCTTCCTAGAGATGCAGTGGATCGCAGGTGCCAAAGCAGAATTTTTCGATGCCTTTTCAACCCTCTGTCGTTGCCGCTTTGAAGGGCACAGTTGCTCAACTCCCGCAAGCGCGGAGAAACGCAGCCTAACCATTGGTCTCCTGTGACAGCCCTGTGTGACTTCTTTGCCTCCTCACGCACCTCAAGGGTCTAGCGCGCAACCCCGTCCTGGTTCCATTGTTCAACACACTGACTCAAGATATTTTGTCTCCGACCCATGGTTTTAAGGATCTAGAATCCAAAATGGCCTCAGCCAGCCAGAGGCATGTTCCGGGAGCGCTCTGGCGATGCTTTTGAGACACTGTGCCCACGTGCGACCGTTTTTAATAGAAACATAAACGTGATGCCCCTGTATGGAGGCTGTACCGTTCATGAGTAGCGCATTTCGGCTGCCAAAGACACAGCATATACAACCCGCTAGAAATCCTTCCTGCACCCCTCCTGAAATCTATTTACCCCTGAGTTCAATTGAAGGAAACGTCATGCTGAAAAACGCCCTTCAGCAACAAGGGCGAAAAGCGCCCCAACTTCTGGCTCCTCGGGCTGTACCCTTTCACGAGGGTGTCGCCACGCCGGCTTCGTGCCCAGCTTGCCCAGCCACCTTCAAGAGGATGGGAAACCCCTCTTGCTTGATATAGTTCCAAAATAACACTGTTTCCTGTCTGAGTTTTAAAAAGATGTTTTTCATCCTCCCCGCCCTACATCCCAGCACGGCGCCCGGCTTTGCCTTGTGGCCATTGTTCGCACTCTTCGCCTGAGTTATGCTTGGTCACTTGGGTCTGCCTGTCTGCTTGTTCTCCTTATAACCGCAATTCTTTGTAGCATTTTGAAGCCACAGTTTCAGACCGCTACAACGTCAATGTTTAACTACATAACCAAACGTGTTCAGTTGTACAGCAGCACATGACTCTGATCGGACGGTCACACCACGCATCTGCCTAAACATCTTTAGGACAGAAATAGGGCACTGACGGCGGAGCTAGCTACTTTTCCTGCTGGCTTGACGACGTGGTTGCTTTTTTGCATGCAAGAAGCCATTGTACTTCCAAGAGTGGTGCAATTCGAAGGTGGAGAGGCCATGCCTCAACAGAGCAAACAACACTGGCAGAGGAAGCAACAACAGCAGAAGCAGCAACAGCAGCAACAGCAACATCAAGAGATACAACATCGTTAGTAAAACCAGGCAATGGAAAGTCGGGGGCTTCATGAACCGCTTTGGGTCTTGCAGCAGTGCTGATTTTACAGCTCTGCTGCTAAAAAAACGTAGGAGGCATAAAGTTCATGCAGGCAACAGACTGTTCGAGTGCTTTTGCAAATGCTGCCGCTAGTCGGCTGTGTCTGTTGCTGTCCGCAGACTTTTCCCTAGCCCCCCTCAGCCAATATGAGTAGCTTCATTCAAATGGCCGCATCTTGCAAGATAGCTGCTGCTGCATCTGCTACATCTGCTGCTGCTGTTTCTGCTGCTGCTGGCGATGTCGCTGTTGCTGCTGCTAGGTCCGCAGTGCACGTGGGAGATGCTCCTGCCTCTAATGAAGCAGATTTAGCAGCCACATGTGCGGCGGGCGCAGTAAGGACTGCGGCGGATGAGTCGCAAGCTCCAGAGCCCCGGCGGGAGCAAACCTGGCGCTTGCACATCCTGAAGGTGCCACAACAGCGTCAACGACAGACGCAACAGCGTCACCAGCTACGAAACTACAGCTTTTTCAAATGTATCAAAATGGAATAACAGGATTGCAAAGGGACATTTATAGCAGTGGCAAGTGAACGTATGAGCATCAGTAGCAGGACTATCGGGAGAAAAAAGCCACAAAAGAAGCAATGGCAGCAGCACCAAGAGCAAATATAGGAAAAACAACACTGAGACCGACAGCGAAAGTGCTAGCAGCAAAATAGAGACGAGAATAAGAAGAAACGGAAACAGGACGAGCACCATCAACACCCAAAGCTGGAGCAGCAGTAGCAGCAACACTAGAAGCAGCAGCAACACGAGCTGCGGCAGCAACAGCAGCAGTCTCTGTATAAAGGCCAGAGTAGCAACAGTAGCAAACCACGACAAAGTCGGCGAGACCGAACGAAAGCAGCCTCTGGACCCCAACTGCAAGTGCAGCATATGTGTAAGTTTTACTCCAATATTTTATTCATGTGTTGTTTGCCTTCGAATTCGACTGCCAAATGCGAAGAAATAGAAATAAGAAACTCGGAGTCCTCCCGAGAGAAACAAGCACGGCCCACAGGATCCATGACTTCGATTACACCTATGACATCACCCTGCAAGCATCCATTTGAAAACGTAAAAAAAATACATTGGACGAGGATATAAACGCATATATGCCTTAAATAAACAAAGGCAGCAGTGAGCGCTCGTGACAAGACGCTACAGCACCATCTCGTTGAAACGCTAGTGCAGATCCAAACGAAGACCGGGCTACTATTCTTGCTGTTGCTGCTTCTCGTGCTCTTTGCAACTAATGCAAGCAACAGAAAGCAACACAAGCGGTGGGAAAAAGACAAATAAAATCAAGGTAAGCAAAAAGAGGTAGGAAAGGAGAAGAAATAAGAAAAGTGACACACTTGAAGGCAGCACGAAACGCAGTGGCATCAGCGACAAATGAGGGACAACCACAAAGCATAACTACAAAGATAAATCACCTGAAAGCCAAAAACAGGAGCACCCAAAATCTGCTTTGCTGCTAGGCGCCGAGTTAAAGTATTCCCTGGGGGAATATTTGCCAGAAACGACAAACTATCTCGCTGCTGTTGATTTGCCTGCTCGATGCCGGTTTGAGTAAGCTGCTCTGGAGCAGTGTCACGCTGCACCAAAGCATCTGCAAGAGTTTGTTGCTGTTGCTGTTGCTGCTGCTGGGGAGACAATGATGCGCCTTTGCCTGTCAGGAAAGCGGCGGCTGCTCTTTGCTGTTGCTGCTGTTCATGAGGCAACGGTACAGTTTCTTCTGTCTGCTGTTTCTGCAGATGGGCCGCCAGGGCATGCAGCTCTTCAGGCTGTACAGATTTTCGGCTTCGCACCTGCTGCTTCTGTTGCTGCTGCTCCTTAGCTTGTTCGAGGTGCTGCTGCTGTTGATGCAACGCACATGCAATTGAGGGGTCACCCCCTTGGGGCTCGATGAGCTTCTCCTTTTGCGGGGGTCTCCAGTTGACAAGTTTACCTGTTCTGTACGCCTCGCCAGGAATACCTGCATCCAACTGAGAAGGCAGCAACAGCAGCAGCAGCAGCAGCAGCATGCCGAACTTCTCGATGCAGAATTGCAGGAAGGTACGCCCACAAATTAGCAGTAACAGAAACCATATGGGCCAGAAGGATTGCTGCTGCCACAGCAGCAGCAGCAGCACCGGAAGAGAATAGCTCACCGGTAGCGTGAGAGGCTTGCCGTTGAGGACGGTGCGAAAGCATTTATTCTGCATGTCAACTCTATAGAACACTACCTTCGCCGCCTGCATGTAATCCTATGGGCAGCAACAAACGCCGAACGCAAACAATACTCGGCCACATGTGTATAAATAAGGAGCACTTTGCTGGCTGGCTTGGTGCACAGCTGCGTGTTCAACTTTGACGTATAGCTCCATGTGGCTAGCTAGCTTCTTGATTAATTAGCCATATTAGTAGCCAGCTATCTAGCTGCCTGGGAAGTTAGCTTCAGCCTTTCCAACTAGCTAGGAAACTGGGTAGCAATTTACTTCAAGCTCCTGCATGAGATCCACAAAGATAAAGTTCTCTTCGTCCTTTTGTGTTTTTAGCCGCGCACCCTCCTTCGTGTCCAGCAGCAGCAAAGGGACCATTCCTAAAGCAGCAGCAGCAACAGCGAAAACCGCCAAAACTGAGCACTCCACGAGGAGTCGCAGCAGCACGAGCGCAGCGCGAGCAGCAGCATCAAGTGACGAAGGAAAAACACCGATGCCACATGCAGCTACGCCGCCAGCGTGAGCAGCAGCAGCAGCAGTGGCAGCAGAAGCAAACTCACCAAGAAGGCAGCCAAGAGAAATGCCAATGGCGGAGCCCAAATAGTAATAACGACGTGAAAGGGGAAGGTCAAGTTGTTCCTTCGTGAGGCTGCAGATACAGTTCGCCTTCGGGCGCGCAGCCCAGTATATCGCAGCAGCAGCAGCAGCAGCAGGGTAAATAACGGCAGCAGCAGCGACAGGGTCAGCAGTCTGGCCTACTTCGGTCGAGGAATGCCCTTGAACTTCGTCGTCAAAGACTCAATCCAAGAGCCCATCCATATTCCAAGCAAATCGCTTAACCAATTACCTGTAGCAGCAGCAGCAACAGCATTACTGCAAGTATATTAGTTATGTGAATGCACCGGCATGGGAGCATGCAGCCACGAAACAACTCCGCAACAAACCAGAAACACTGGTTGTTAGCAGCAGCAGCTAACCAGCAGCAGCAGACTCGGAGCCTCTACTGGTGTTCCAGAAGCTTGACAGTCAGCAGCATCAGCAACAACACCATGTGCAACCGAGAGCTTACCAAGTGCTGCAGCAGCCATCGTGGAAAGACCAAGAGACACGCAGAGCGTCGTATCAAACTGCGCAATGACAGCAGCCACAGCAACAGCACCTGGCGCAGTAGAAGCAGCAGCAGCTGCAGCAACAGGCTAGTCCCTGCCATAATGGGGAGCTCGAAAGACAAACACTTCCAGACCCAAAACAAACAGCAACAATTCTGGCAAAAGCACCACCGGAAAAAAAAGCAGCAAGTCCAGCCGCAGTGGCAGTGACAGCACGAGAAAAGAGCAGCAACCTGCAAATCTGCTGCCACTGCAGCAACGGCAGCAGCAGCACCAGTGCGCGCAACAGCAGGATTGACGAATGCAGCAACGGCTGACCATATCTCCAGCGGTGATCATGACGAAGTTGTCAACAAACCCAAAACCGATAAAGGGAATACTTCCAGCTAGCACCAGCATCCACAGCTGCTGCGAAGAAGGCCGCGCGGGCCCCCCTACAGCTGCTGGTGGCTGCTGCTGCTGATCAGCTTCCTCATCTCGCCTCCCTTTGGATTTCAGCTGCTCCGCTGCAGGTGGTGTGGAAGCAGTTTCAGCCTGAGCGGCAGGGAGAGCAGGCAGCAGTCAGTACGCTTGAATTTTGCCGCCTGAAATTCTGCTGGCTTTCCACAACTCCAGCTGCTGCAGTGGTAACTAAAGCCCGCCGCACCAGCAGCAGCAGAGCTGCATGCAGCAGCAGAAGCAACGCACTTGGTCGGGAGCAGGGGGCTCTTGTGCTGCAGCGGCACGCTGCGCCGAAGCTGGATCCTCAGCACTCCCAGCCAATGCAGCCTTAGCAATATCGATGCAGCCAATAGCTGCAGCATTAGCTGCTGTTGTGGCGCTGCTGCTGCTGCCGAGCTTCCCGGGAACAAGCAGCCCTATCCCTGCAGGACACACTACATTTCCTGCAGCAGCAGCTGAGACAGCACCAGCTGCTGCCTTTCTAGGGCACAACCAAACCACTGAGTCTGCGGGCCGGCGAAAGATCCACTGAGGAGCCACAGGGGCAGGAACAACTGCAACAATAGCAGCAACTTCTGCCTCCTCCTTTGTTGCTGCTGCTGCGGCTTTTCTCGCTTCGTCCGCGAATGCTGCTTTGACTGCTTCTATCTGGGATTCTGCTGCTGCTGCTGCTGCATCACATGTGCTGATGACCCACTCGCTGGTCATGTACTCAGGCTCCCCAGAAGCAGCAGTGCTGCGGGAGGCAGCTGCCCCGTCCTCCGCAGCAGCGCCCTCAGCAGCAGCAGCAAATGAAGTTCTGGCCAGAGTGTATCCATTGTTGCCAACACTGCTGCTGACGCTGCTCTTTCTGTTACTACTAGGGTGGCTTCCTGGTTTTGGTGGTGGTGCTGCTGCTGCTTCATGTGATTTCCCAGCCTGTGAGATGCCATCCCATTTACTCAAGCCACCATTCCTAATGCCGCTGCAGCGGTCGCTCGTGAAACTGCTGCTGCTGCTGCTGCTCGTGCTGCTTTTGCCTCTGGAAGGGCAAATGATGCACGGAGGCTTCGTGGGATGCAGTGAAGGTATGTAGCAAATGGCCTTCATGCCCTCTCCTGGTGCCCCATTATGCAGAGGATGGCTGCACAGCAGCAGAGTCCTGCTGCAGCTGGCGCAGAAACACTTTTCGCTGCTGCTTCTGTTTGGAAAGCTCTGCAGAATGCTGTTAGTTGCAGACTTAGGCAGGCGGGGCTTGTGTGTGAAGGGCTGAGCCCTTCGTGCTGCTGCGGTTGCTGCTGCGTTTGCTGCTGATGCTGCTTTTGCTGTTGCGGCTTTTGCTGCTGCTGGCTCTTGAGGCAACAGATGCACGGTGGTGTACGAAGCTGCCCACTTCCACGCTGCCGCGCGAGCTAACCTGCTGCTGCTGCTGCTGCCGCCGCTGCTGCTGCTGCTGAGCATCCCAGTGCGCTGCAGCAATGCGCTGACCATTCTCAACTCCAGTGCAACAAGTTCTGGTCACCCGCGTCAGCTTACTTGCCTTTAGTACAATGCTGCTGCTGCTGAACAGCCTCCGGTTATCCGTAGCTCTACCTACTCAGACTTGCCTCCACGACGTTGCACTGGCGGCTGGTATTGCTGCTGCTGCCGCTGCCGTTGCTTCTGTTTCTGGTACGGCTGCTGCGCCTCTCCAATATTTGTTCAGGCTGCAACAGCAGCAGCGTCGTTGCCAGCAAAGCTTTCTGAGCAGCATCAGGTCCGCAAGCGGCAGCAGCGACTACTGCTGCTGCTGGAGCAGCAGTAGAAGCTGTTGCTGATACTCCTGTACAGGCTACCTCCGCAAGAATTGCGCCGCTGAAGCAGATGCGCCTATTTCAAGTGTTGCTGCCGCTCTTTCTGCTGCTGCCTCTACTGTTGCTCTTCTAATCCCGAGCTGCGTGCGCCTCTGCCCAGAACAGCACGGCCAAGATGGCAGTTCCAGAAGAGCCTCTTGCTGCGACGAAGAGGAAGCTTCACGGAGTGCCCAACTAGGTGCAGACAAGGCTTTGCTTGCCGGCTTTTAGAGTTAGGCGAAAAGTAATACTACATTTGGTGGCGGCCGTGTTGCTGCCGCCACCTTTGGTATTTCACGTGGTATTAGCTACACCACTAAAAAGTACTTATGGGGGTAAACAAAGCAATGTACGGGAACTATGATTAGCCAGAGCAGGGCTGGGAAAAACAAATTTGCGGCTGTTGCTGTCTGCGGCTGCTGTTGCTGCTGCTACAGCAGCTGCTGCCGCTGTTATTTGGGGTGTCTCTAGAGGAAAGTATAAAATTAGAAAGGCACAAAGTTGCCTAATACTAATACTTGACCAACTTGCAAAGTTCTAGTAGCTGATCCTTTTCAGCGAGCGGCCAGCAGCAGCAGCAATAGCTTCCGTTGCTGCTCCAAGGCGGCAGCACTGCAGCCGCCTAGGCTAGAGTAGCTGCAAGATAAGACCTTCTGTTGTAGTGGCTCTTCTAGTGGTATTAGTGGAAGAGAGTTCAAATACATTAATTAGTAGCTTTGCTATCAAGAGGCCACAAATACCCCTTACAGCAGCAGCAGCAAGTCCTGTATGAGGTCGTGCGTGGACCGTTACAGTCCGTTGCCGCCGCTGCTCGAGCTGCTGCAGCAGCAGCAGCGGGAGTAGCCTCTCAACGATGAATTGCAGCGAAGAATTTTCCCAGCAAAACTTTTTTGTGTATCATTCTGCTGCTGCTGCCATTGCTGCCGTGTAGCACGAGAGCCGGCAGCCATAGTTGCTCACCAGCAGCCGCCAGAGCCAATCGATGTTCAGTCCTCTTCACCAAGCACCTGCCAGCACTACAGGCATTCCCTGTGGTGAGGCTTGTTGAATTTCACTTAGTTGCTGCAGCAATAGCAGCGGAAGAAGCAACAACAGCCACGTAAACCTGCAGCTCGCTGCTGCAGGGCGAGGCCGGCTGGGTTCCATTGTGTCTCACACTGCCTCTCCTGCTGCTGCCGTTGATGGCACTGGCGCACGAAGCTTTTGCCTGTCTCAGCGAGCGTAAGTTTATGGACTCAGCACCAGTGACATGAGGCAGCAGCAAGAAGAGCAGCCCCACAGCGATCAGCGCAGCAGCAGCACCTCAAGAACACGAACACGCAGGCAGCAGCAGCATTAAAGGATAACAACAACAGCAGAAGAAGGACAGGCAAAGGCAGTACAAGAAGCAGCATCCCCTTCGCACTACTGGACCTCTCAAGCTAGCATGAGAAGATTCTTTGGAATCTTCCGCCGCAGGTGACCCTCAGGCGTATTTATGCCCATCCAGCTGCTGCTGCGCTTTTCGCTGCTTGCAATGCTCTTTTAAATGCTGCTGTCTGTCGTCGGTGTGCCTCTGTTGCTGCTGTTGGGGTACTTGGGGGCCCGCTGGTGAGTATTTTGCTGCTGCAGACCCAGTGCAATTACAGCCATTCATGATGCTGCTGCTGCTGCTGTTTGTTCTGATGCTTCCTCAGTAGGCGGTCTGCTAAAGCTGTGGACAAGGGAGGAAATCAGCAGCAAAAGGAACTGGAGCATCCGCAGCAGCAGCATGCGCAGCAAACAGCAGACCTGCTATGCCAAGCCGCACAACAGAACCAGGAGCAGCAGGAGCAGGAGGCGCAGCAGATGAGTTACCAGCAGAAACATCTGGCAGAACAGCGCTCGCCTGCAGCAGGCTGTGCCTCATTTGAGAGCAACAGCGGCAGCAGAGACACCAACAGCAGCAGCAACTGCACGAGCTGCAGCAGCCGCATACACGCCAGTTCCTTTGTGTGCACCCAGCCGTCACGGAAAGCCATGGTTTCCTTTTTCTTGGAAGCAGCAGCAGCAAAGGCAGCAGCAACAGATGTATCATCAGAAGCGCCGTCAGCAGAAGCCGCACCAGCAGCACCGCCATCAGCAACTGCAGCAGCACCATCGGCAACTGCAGCAGCAGCAGCAGCAGCAGCTACAGGGGCTGAGCTTGGGCCCTTTCGTGAAGGCTCGAAGACCGACGACGAAGCTACAGTGCAGCGGCCACTTGGCGGCCTGCCTTTTGTGTGTGGGCGCAGCAGGCCACGGGCGCTGACCCCAACAACAGCAGCTGCAGAGGCAGCAGCAGCAGCAGCAGCAGAAGCAAAGAGGAGAGAAGCTGAGGGCTGCTGGGATGTAGAAGGCTACCCAGCTGAAGCAGCAGCAGAAGGGGCCCTCTACAGCGCCACCCTTGCTGCAGCATCGCTAGATGTTTTTTCCCTGCCATTTAACCATGCAGAAAAATGCATAATTTCCTCACTCAAGCTTCCAGAACTTGGTTAGTTGTTTAGACCCTCCTGCTGTTGCAGTAGCCGCTGCTGCTGCTGCTGCCGCTGCTGGCGACACCGGCACACCTGCCGCTGCTGCTGTTGTGCTTGCTGCTGGTGGTGCATCTTTTGCTGCTGCTGGCGCAGCAGTCTCTGCTGAAACTGTCATGTTCTGCTGCTGCACTTGATGCTGCTGCCGCAGCTGCTGCTGTGAATTGTGCATGTAGCACTGCTGGTGCGCTTGCTGCAGTTGCCGCTGCTACTCCCCCAGGGTGTACTGTTGCTGCTGCTGCAGTGGGGACCTTTTTGCTGCTGCAGCTGCCTCGTGCGCCGAATTGTTTCGCGGTGCTGCTGCTGCAGCCCTTTCTACCTGCTGCTGCTGTTGATGGGTCAGCTGCTGCTTGATTGGCTGGTGCTGCAGGAGCTTTCCTTGTTGCTGCTCGTTGCTGACCTGTTGTTGCATTAGGCTCTCGCGCCATAGACTACCCGGTGCCACCTGCTTTGCTGCTTGAGGAAGCTTTGAAGCAGCAAGAAGACCCGGATGATGTGGCTGCTGCAGCGGCTGCGATGCTGCAACAGCAGCCGCAGCCGCTGCCGCGGTCCCGCTTCATGAAGTCGCCGAGACGCTGCAGCAGCGCCAACAGCAGCAGCGCCAGAAGGGCTTTAGAAGCTCTTGACGAGTCTTCTGTCTTTTGTCTCCCTCTGGCCCATCGCCGGCGGCTGCTGTTCAACATGCTGGCGAACTTCTGCCTGGAAGCAAACGCAGGTGAGGCACTTCCCCCGCAGCAGCAGCAGTAGCTGCTGCTGCTGCTGCTGCAAAAAGAGCTCATTGGGCGCAGCAGCAGCACTTTATGTTGTCGCCAATAGGGCTGGCCGCATGTGCTAACAGAGGCATGAAATAATCAGTTTAGGCAGCTGCTTAGGTAGGTGGCTGCAGCGCAAGCTAGGCAGCTAGCTGCCGTTTAGCTAGTTAGCTGCAGCAATTTGAGCTTCACCAAGAGCTGCTGAGTAGCCCCTGAAGCTTCTGCTTCTGGTATGGTGCCAGCTAGCTAGCTAGCTAGCCAGCTGCGCGCATGCAGGTGTGTGGGGTGTCTCAATTTACCTTGTTCTCAGGCCTTTCTCTGTTTCAGCTGACTGCTAGCCGGGACACGCTGCCTGTCTTTTTGCGGCTGTCTGACGACCTGCAGCAACTGCTGCTGGACGCGAGGACTGGCCACATCCTGGAGTTTCCCTTGGCCAACGCTGAGGCTGTTTACACGCTGCAGCGCCGCAGAGTCCCAATAGACTCTGCGCGCACTGAGCAGCAGCAGCAAGTGCACGTGCATGTGCAGCAGCAGCAACTGCCCCCGCAGCAGCAGCAGCTGCCCCCCTTGGACATGAACATGGTCCACGCAACCAGGAGCAGCTCGGGGGGCTACGCAGCAGAGCCCGTTGAAGGCGGGAGACGACGCGTGCTGCTGCAGCAGCAGCAGACGCAGCCGCAGCAGCAGCACGAGGATGCGGATGAGGGGCAAGCTGCCTCAGTGGGATTTGGAGGCCGCAGCAGCACAGAGACCACTCGCAACTTCATCGTGGTGGTTGAGTTCGGCTGCACGAAATTGGCATTTGCATTTGAAGACAGAATCAACGCTGAGACATTTCAACTCGCCACTGGGCTGCTGGCTAGGCGGGTAAGGACAGCCAGGCACAGCCAAAGAAGCAGACAGACACATTTCCACAACAAGTGCAGCAGCAGCTACAGAGGCAGACGCAGCAGCAAACTGATAAGAACAGACTCGCCAGCAGCAGCCAAGGCAGAGGGAGATAAACATACTGCACAGAAAGACAGAAACCCCACAAACCCTAACATAGAGTGGCGTTTGAGAAACCCCACAAACCCTAAGGTAGAGTGGATTTGAGGGACAAAAGAAAGCAGAAATAGGAAAGCTACAAACCCTAACATAGAGTGGGCTGTGGAAGGCAGAGGGAAAAAGATGTAGGGGAAGACAGGATGGGCAGACATTAGAAAGGACACGGCCACAAATACGTGCAGCAGCAGCAGCAGCAGCAGCACTTGCAGCAGCACACACAAAAGGTAAAGCCAACTGCAGCTGCACCTTCACTGTGCTGCATTTTTCAGGCCAAAGAAATCCAGCAGCAGTCGAGCTTTTCTGCCATTGTTTCATTTGCCGAAAATCTACCCTTCACTCCCCGCGCAGCGAAGGAGTTTCTGCATCAGCTCGCTGCGCCTTCCTCCTCCAATAGACCTCTCAGCAGCAGGAGCAGCAGCAGCAGAATCCAGGACATTTGGCAGCAGCAGCCGCAGCAGCTGCAACCGAGGCACTCACAGCTTGGCTTCATAGAAACTGAAGAAACCTCATCTCTCTGCGGCTGCTGGGGACCCCTGAAGCCCGTGGATACCACTCCAGGGCCCCTGCCAACTCTTCCCCTTTTTGGCATTGGGCCCCCATTGCCCAGCATTGGGAGGGGCAGGGGGCCCCCATGGTGAACAAACCAGGGTATCTGTACCCATGCACATTAGCGTGCATCTCTAAGTGGCTAAGTGCACAAGTCTGTTTGAATGTAATTGCACGAGTCTGCAGACGCAAACAGATTTGCATTTACTTCCTGCATGCGTACGAAGCGAAGGCAAATGTGCAAGTGGCTGTACTTGCTTGCATGTACTTCTACAGACAGACCTGTACATACACGTGAAGGCCACCCATAGGGGAGGGTTTACTTTTCGCGCGTTGCTCATACGCGTTAAGCACAGAAGTGCATTTACACACTTCTAAATGTATTTAATAGATACATGCGGACGAAGAAAGGCCTCCCAGAAGACAGCGGGGCCTTCCAGCAGCTGGCTGAGCTGCGTCTGTCTGCTTTTCCGTTCTTTGCTGCCCTTCAAATGTTGGGCATTTGCCGTTGCTCGGCTCTCGGGTGCTCTCCTTTGTCTTATTTTTGTCGCATTTTATTGTTTCCATTTTGTTGCTTTTGGGTCGAAACCTCCCAGGCTGTTTGGTTCCTTGCTACACGCATGCAGCACCTTCTGCTGGCTAGCTTTGTTTGGGTCGAGCCCCTCCTGCAGCTGCAGCACCAGCTGAATCTGCAGCAGCAGCAGCAGCTGCAGCCGCAGCAGCAGCAGCTGGTGCAGCTGCTGCTGTGTCAAATATGCCATGTGTTTTGGTCCACCGTAAGCGGGGGAACTTTCCGCTGTTGCCCTTCGTAAAACGAACTTTACCTTTTATGAGTCGTAGAAGACATACTGACTGTTGCAGGAACTGCTGCTGCTTATGCTATCAGGCAGCTGCTGCGGCAACTTCAACAATTGCGGCTGTTCCTGCCGCAGCAGAGCTACTGCTGCTGCTGGATGAATTGACGGTGGGGGTACTGCAGCAGATCGCACTAGCTATGGGCTGCTACTAGGATTTGCTGCCTTTTCTTCTGCGGCTCTGCGGCTGCTGCTGCAGCTGCACCGCCCCTTAAGCTCCACAATCTCTTTAAAAGCATGCAGCAATCCGGCGCACTGCTGCTGCAGCAGCAGCAGCTGCAAGTCTTACTCAGAAGAGTCAGCTGCAGCAAAACCTCTCTTTCGGGCATTACCCCCAAATTACATAGAGGTAACCCCAGCCTCGCCAGTATATTTGCCCGTCATTCGAAATGCCGTGGCACCCAGTTTTGCTGCAGCTGCAGCAGCTGCAGCAGCTCTAGCTGCAGGAGCTGCAGCGGCTGCAGCAGCTGCTGCTGCGGCAGTGGAGCTGCCGCCGCAATTAGTAGTCATCAAACGTTGGCTCTTCTTCCTTAAGGTCTTCACCAACAGCGTCCGCCCAGGCCTTGCGGAACGCGCGAAAGAAAGCAGGACTCTCGTTCTGCAGCAGCAGCAGCAGCAACAGCAGCAACAGCACAAATATGGCCGCAGCAGCGCAAGCAGCAGCAGCAGCACAGAACGCATGCGGCGAGAACCTCCGCATCACTGTAAGAAAAGGCAGCAAAACAAACGCCACCGTCACATGAGCCAGCAGCAATAGGCTCAGAAGCTGCACGTAAGTGCAGCAGCAGCAGCAGCAGCAGCAGCAGCCTACTTGGATAGATAGGCCGAACACAAAGTCTTGGACACAGTCTGAAACAGCAGCGCAAGCAGCAGCAGCAAAACGCAGGGCTAGCGGCAGCAGAAGAAGCTGCAGCGCCTTGCATAATGGCAGCAGCAACAGCAGCAACAGCAGCAGCAGCAGCACGGGAACCCGCAGCACCTCGAGGGTCCTTGAGGCGCAGCAGCAGCTCCTGAGCGTAGACGATGTAGTGGCGTTTGGCCCTGCAACAGCAGCAGCAGCAGCAGCAGCAAACAGCGATTGGTGCGGGGTGACTGCAGCACAACGGAGGATCCAGGGGAAGCAGCAGACAAAGGACTAGCAGCAAAACAGCAAATAAGAAAAAAGCTAAAATAGAAAACGGACAAAACGGCCTACCTGTCCCCCAAGAGAAAACGCACCCCACTGTCTCCCATTTCATCTGTAGAGCCTTCCAGCTGCACACAAGCCACGCAGCAGCAGCAGCAGCAGCAGCAGCAGCACGAGTGGTAACAGCTGCAGCAGCAGCAGCCCCAGCAGCATTTTCCGCTGCAACAACTTAGACGAGCAGCAACAAAGAAGAGGGCAAACGCAGCAGTGCCGGCGCAGCGGCGACAGCAGCAGCAACAAAAGTAGCAACAACAGCAACAGCAGCAGGCGCTATACAGCAGCAGCAGTGCCGGTGCAGCGGCAGCAGCAGCAACAGCAAAAGGCGTCACCCAAGCTGCGACTTTTGCATCATCTGATAAAATGACAAGAGCTCTGTCCATGAAAGAAACGCGAAGCAAATTAAGGGAAGTCCCTTCTACGTTTAGTTGCGTCTGGTACACCGCAGGGCCGTCGTCCTTGTTTGCTGCTGCTGCTGCTGCTGCTGCTGGGGCTCCTGCTGCTGCGGCTGTTGCTGCCATTGATCCCGCCTCTGCGGCTGCTGCTGCGTGTGCTTTTGATGCTGCTTCTGCCGCCACGCCCGCTGCTGCTCCAGCGGCACTTCCTGCTGCTGCTTCTGCTGCTGCTGCTGCTGAGTCACCGCGACGCCCCCGAGGGGCAGGCGGGGGGCAAGCAGCGTCGCTGGGAATGAAAGGAATGCCAACCTCGAATTCCATTTTAGAAAAGAAAAAACAAAAAAGTAAATGAAGGCGGAAAAGACGGAAGACAGGCCTTAGAAGGACAAGAACTCCCGAAGCCGCTGGGGCTTTCGTGAGTTTTCGGGATGTTTTGCGGCTCAGACAAGGTGGAATTCCTGCTGCTGCTGCTGCTGCTGCGCTGCTGCTGCAGCGCTGAAGGGCCAGAGCAGCAGAAACGACTCGCCGCAGCAGCCGTGGCAGCAGCAGCAGCAGTGGCAGCAGGAACGGCCCAAGAAACAGCAGCAGCACAGAACACTCCTCCGCTGCTCAGGTTGAAAGTAGTTGCTCTGCAAACAGTACTACTGAGTGCCTCCAAAACAAAAACAATCCTTGCAGCTAACAGCAATTTCCCCTCCGTTTTGTAAAGGCATTGGGGGGCCCCTTCCAGGGGGCCCCAACTCTGGGTGTACCCCGGGGCCCCCATCATGGAGCCTTAGAAAGCGACATTTTTCTGAATAAATTATCTGAAAGCATCAAATTAAAAAACTATTTGCTGTTTTCAGCTGCATAATCAGAGCTTAGCGTCTACGGCTGGGTGTGTAGAGCTGCGAGCTGGCGTTGAATCGACGGCTGTTCCTGCTGCTGATCCTTCCACTGCAGCAGCTGAAACTGCACTTGCTGCAGCTGCAGCTATTTCCGCCGAATTTGTTTTTTCCATTGCGACTGCTGAGGCATCGGTTTCTGCTGCTGCGGCTGCTGCAGTTGCTGCTGCCTGGCAGCAAACGAAATGGTGGTGCAGAAGCAGCCTCGCAGTCTCTTTGAGACTTTAACTTACTTGGGTCGGGACCCTACTGCTTCTCAGGACCAGGCAGGCAGCAGCAGCAGCAACAACAACAACGGCAGCAGCAGCTGCAGCAGCAACGACGACAGCAGCCGCTGCAGCAGCACTGGCTGCCCGTGCTGCGGACTGCCTGTAGTCGTTTTGGCCAGCCAGTCCCCCCAAAGGTCTAATCTCCTGCGGCAGCATTTGGGGTTGCCCTTAACTATCATTACCTCCAACTATGAGGACGCTGCAAAGCAGCAGCAGCAGCAGCAGCAGCTGCAGCAGCAGCAGCAGAAAGATGATGAATTGCAGGCCGAACGACTGCTGCAACAGCTGCTGCTACCGCCTGAAAGCAGTGGCTGCACGCTGCAGCAGAGCTGTCACCCACAGCAGCAGCAGCAGCAGCGCCAAGGCTGCAGCAAACTGAAGGCGCTGGCCCTGCGCAACGCCCACGGGAAAGCAGCCGATATCGCTGCGCGACTGTGGGGAACCAACAGCAGCAGCAGCAGCAGCAGCAGCAGCAGCGAGTGCCGCGCCAGCAGCGTAATCGTATCTGCTGACACAGTAGTAGACGTAGATGGGTCTCTGATGGAGAAGCCTGAAGACGCAGCAGCAGCAGCAAGAATGCTGCAGCAGCTGCAGGGGAGATCGCACTGGGTGCACACAGCAGTCTGCATTTACACCCGCACTGCCTACCAGCAGCAGCAGCAGCAGCAGCAGCAGCAGCAGCAGCGTGGCGCAGCTGGGGCTTTTGTGTGCTCCACCCGCGTCACCTTTTGGCCTCTTTGCAGCGAAGACATTCAAAGGTATATTGCCTCTAATGAGCCTTTTGGAAAAGCGGGTAAGTTTTATTTATTTTATTTACTTATTTCTTTTTATTTTTTGTTTCCTTTTGCTTCTTTTCGTTTTTCTTTGCCTCTCTTCCCGTCAGCGGCCGTCGCTCTGCTGCCAGCAGCAGCAGCCGAGCAGCAGCAGCAGCACCTGCAGCACTCACTGCAGCACAGCGGGCAGCAGCTGCGCCGGCGCCCCCAGCAGCAGCAGCAGCAGCAGCAGCAGCAGCAGCAGTGTGTGCCGTGTGTGCGCTTCAGGGGGCTACGGGCTGCAGGGCCTGGGCTGCTGCTTGGTGGCTGCAGTGGAGGGCTGCAGCAATTGTGTCATTGGCTTGCCAGTGTCTCATTTGCTGGCAGCTTTGGCTTCTCTTCATTCCCAGGGCCTCCTCTGAGAGCCCCACAGCTGCGGGGCCACAAAACTGAGGGCTGCACTCCAGGCCGGGGGGCCCCGGGGGCCCCCAGAGGCTCCCAGGGGCCCCCAGGGGCCCCCAGGGGCCCCCGGGGGCCCCCGGGGGGCCCGGGGGCCCCCGGGGCCTCAGCGGCAAACTGTAGGTCCCCACAGGGCACTTGTGCAGCAAGACTGCTTGCGGGGTTTGGGGCCCCAGGGGGAGAGGGGGGCCCCCAAGAGAGGCTTCCGGGGGCCCCAGGGCCTCTGCTTGAGCTTTGCGTGCTCTGGAACGCACTGCAGCAGCAGCAGCAGCAGCAGTATAGGGGCTGTAAGAGCAGCCGGGGGCCCCAGGGCCTGCCCAGGGGAATCTGGGGCCCCACATGGCCGCCAGCGGGGCCCCCCAGTGGTCCATTAAAAGGCCAATTGTTTTTTGAGGGGCCCCTAGCTCTAAAACAGCAGCTAGCAGCCCTTGAACTGCTTTCGTTTGAGTCTGGGACTTGAGGTTTAGATTTAGATTGAGGAAGTCCCCATTTTAGGGTCTAGGGTTATTATTAGAAAAGAAACAGCAAGAGGAAGCCTACTGCAACTGCTGCAGCTGCTGCTACTGATTTTGGCTGCAGGCGCCGCTGCTACTGCTGCTGCTGCTGCAGCTACCGCTGCTAGTCATGGAACTGCTCCTCTGGCTGCTGCTTCTGCTGCTTCTTGCGCTGGTGCTGGTGCCGCCGCTGCAGCTTCTTTCTTAAAGCTAGAAAAGTGCGGCGGTGGAATTCCTGTCTGTACACGCGCAGCAGCAACAGCAGCAAGATCCATGGAGGCAGCAGCAGCAAATACTGCAGCAAGACTACATCTTAAGGACGCCCGCCACGGGGCTGCATGCATTTGGGGTCCTGCCTGCGCAGCTCACTTTACCTTGCGTTGCTGCTGCAGCAGCTGCAGCAGCTGCTGCTGCTGCTGCACATGCTACAGCAGAGCAGCAGCTGATGCTGTTGGTTTGAAGGATGAATGACAGCATTACCTCGGAGAGCTGGCTGCAGCTGCACCACAGGCCGCCAACTAGCTGGCTAGCTAGCTAGCTGGCTGGCTAGCCAGCTAGCTAGCCGGCTAGCTAGCTGGCATCTCTGCTGCTGACTGGCTGTTTCTTTTTGCTCATTCTGCTGCTGTTATGTCCGCAAGTGGCTTCCTGTGTCTCTGAGTTTCTGCCTTTTCCCGTTTGTCTTTAGACTATTTGTCTTATATTTTTCTGTTTTGCTTCGGCCCTCCTTTTAAAGTAAACTGTGCGAAAGCACGTGTCTAGACACCAGAGAAAACCGCGGTTGCCTCTGCAGACGCTGCCGCAGCTGCTGCTGCGCAGCTGCGGCTGCGTCCGCTGCTGCTTTGCTGCTGTGACTACAGAATTAGCAGCAGCAGCGGCAGCAGCGCAGCAGCGGCAGCCGCGGAGCAGCGGCAGCTGAAATACAAAAGCCGCTGCACTAGAGCGCATTCGTCTGTGTTTCTGCCTGCACGTTGAGTGTGAGGGGCAAAGCAGTTCTTTCTACATCTGCTGCAGAGGGCTGCTGCTGCTGCTCCTTCTGCTGCTGCTGCTGGTGCACCTGCTGCTGTTGCGGCTGGTGGTCTTGCGCCTGTTGCTCCTGCAGCGCCTCAGTGAGCTGCACTGGCTGCTGCAGGAGCATGAGACGCGCCTCGTGCAGTACAGCAGCCTTTTGCTGCTGCTGCTGCAGCTGCTGCTGCTGCTGCTGCTGCGGCTTGGCGCTGCTGCCACTGCTGTTCCTCCTGGGCTTCTTCCGCGCACGCATGTAACAGGCGTTGCAGACTGGCTGCCCCTCTAGGTATCGCCACTGAGGTGTCTGCCGAACTCCGCAGTTGCTGCAGCTGCTGGGGCCCCTCCTGCTGCTGTGTCTTTGCCCGCTGGAGGCCCCTTGGCGCTTTTTGGGGGGCCCCCGCGAACGTGCTGCTGGGGATGGCCGCTGCTGCTGCTGCTGCTGCTGCTCTTGCGCTTCCTGAGCTCCCTGCATATCCGAGTTGGACCCTTCGCTGCGATGTGCGCATCGTCCTGCTGCTGCTGCTGCTGCAGACCCAGCAGCAGCAGCAGCCGGCGCTTGCTGCAGAGAGCCACGGCAAGACAGACGGACAGACAACGCATCTTCCCAGCAGCAGCAACAGCTGCTGCTGCACGGCGTGCTGCTGGGCGGCTGCTCGTGCTGCTGCTGCCTCCGTTGCTGCTGCTGCTGGTGCATCAAGCTGTGGAGCTGCTGCTTCAATCGCTGCTGCAGTGGCTGCTCTGCAGACTCCCCAGGCGTTTCCCCGTCTGGAGAAGCCCAGCCGAATCGTTGCTGCAGCAACACTTGATGCTGCTGCTGCTGCTGCTGATCTTGTGCAAATGAGTGCGAGGCAGAGGGAGAAGAGCAGCAGCTGCTACCTTGCCCACTGAGGTCTTTGAAGGTATCGCTGCCACCCCTATGGAAGGGCCTTGTGCTGTCCCGACTATACGTGTCTTGCTGCTGCTGCTGCTGCTGCTGCTGCTGCTGCTCATCATAGCAGGGAACGGGAAGAGACAGCAGCGCCACTCGCTGCTTTGCATCGCTGAGTGAAACGCCTTCACTGCATAGCCAAGAAGATGCTTGCTGCTGCTGCTGTTGTTGCTGCTGCTGCTGCTGTTGCTGTTGTTGCTGTTGCTGCCGCTGCTTCTGTTCTTGTTTTTGCTGCTGCTGTTGCTTTTGCTTTTCTTGTAACTGCTGCTGCTGCTGTTGCTTTTGTCTTTCTTGTAGCTGCTGTTGTTGTCGTTCTTGCTGCTGCTGTTGCTGCTGTCGCTGCTGTTGCTGTTGTTGTTGCTGCTGCTGTTGCCGCTGGAGATGGGCCACCTGCTGCGGCGTTTCCTGCTGCGGTTCAGCTCTACGTGGCGTGTGCCTCTCTTTATTCTGCTTCTGTTGCTGCTGCTGCTGTTGCTGCTGCTGCAGCAGGTTCAGCATGTTGCACATTCGCAGTATCTCCTCGGCTGTGGCAGTGGCCCTCCACTGCTCCCTCTTTAGCTGATGCTGCTGTACTTGCTGTTGCTGCTGCTGCTTCGGTTGCTGCTGCCACTGCCGGTGCTGCAGCTGCTGAGGGGACATGCAAATTGGCGTTGCAGCAGCAGGCGCAGGTAGAGCAGCAGCAGGCGTGGACTGCAAGCCCCTCTCTGTTGTTTCCCGCGATGCTGCTGCTGCTGTTGCTTCTGCTCTGCTGCGCTGCTGCAGAGCTAGAAGCAAATCGGCTCCCCGAGATGCTCCCGCGCCTGAAAGCAATGCCTGCAGCAGCTGGGGTTCCTGCTGCCTCCGCTGCTGCTGCTGCTGCTGTTGCTGCTGCCGCTGCTGCTGCTGCTGGTTATCCTGCGGTGAGGTTGCCCCAGTTAGCCCTTGAGATTGGTGTGTAAGTGGCGGCCTGGATGCAGCTGAGCTGGCTTTGCTGCCATTGCCTACTGCTGCTGCTGCTGCTGCTGCTGCTGCTGCGGCTGCTGTTGCTTCCCCAGCTCGGCCAGTGCGTTCTCCGTGGTGCCCTGCCTCTGATGGAAGCAGCAGCAAAAGAAGGCGCAACAACTGCTGCTGCTGTTGGCGGATAGAAGCAATTTCGGCGCTCTGCTGCCGTGCTTGTTGTTGTTGTTGTTGTTGTTGCTGCTGCTGCTGCTGCTGCTGCCTTAAGGGGGTCTCACTGGGGCGAGAGAAGCGACAAGAACCACTCAGCACATTTTGCTGCCGTTGATCCTCGGAAGAAAGCTGGCGAAGATGCTGCTGCTGCGCGTAAAGCTCTTCTGTTGCTCCTTGTGCAGTTGCTGCTGCTGCTGCTGCTGCTGCTGCAGTTCTGCTGGCGCTGCGGGACAAAGGCGACTCTCCACCTCTTTGGGTGGACTGTTTCGCTTGAGTGCCTTTTGAACTTGGTAGTGGTGCAGCAGCTGCTGCTGCTACTGCCGCTGCTGCTGCTTTTCCAGTTAGTGCTGCTCTTGCTGCCGCTGACACTGGCAGCAGTGACGCTGCTGCTGGCAAGTGTATTTGCTGCTTTTGCAGCAAGCTGCCAATGTCCAGTAGATGATCCATACTCAATGATGAATTCGCCACTGGGGTTGCTGTTGCAGCTGTTGCTGCTGTCGCTGCTGCTGCTGCTGCTGCTGCTGCTGCTCGCCGCTCTGATGGACTCTGGCTACACAGGAGTGGAGAAATCCCGCCCCTGTGGGCCTGCCGGCCCTCCATGGCTGGCAAGGCGCTTTTGTTTGTGCAGCTGCTGCTGCTGCTGCTGCTGTTGTCTCAGTTGCTGCTGCTGGCTGTGGCCGTCGTTGCTGTCGGGGCTTTTGCTGCAGGTGGCACAGCAGGCTTCGCTGTGTCTTGAGTGGAACGCTTCAGTGTATTGCAGTTTGTGTTTCAGCTGCTGCTCTTGCTGCTTTGGACACTGTTGCTGCTGCCTTGCTGCTGCCGCCGTTGCTGCTGCTGCTGCGGCTATCGGTCTTCGTAGATGCTGTTGAAGGAAGGTCTGATCTCTGTGTGATCTGCCTCTTTGGCGTGATCAGTGTTGCTGCTGCAGCAGCTGCAGCAGTTTCTGCAGCAGCTGCTGCTATTGCTGCAGCTGTTGCCAGTGCTCGTTAGCCTGCGCGCCTCTGCCCGACAGATAGGGTAGGCAGAGCTCGCAGGCGGGGAGTGCCGCTGCATCTGGTGTATTTTTTGGGTTTATAGATTTCGCTGCGCTAGATCTGCAGCAGCAAGGTGAGCGTCTAGCTGCTGCTACTGCAGTCGTGCGCTGTAAGGCCCGCACCCGGCGCTGGGCGAATCCTGCGGCGGCGGCACGACAGCAGCAACAGCAGCAGGAAGAGGAGCGGCAGCAACGGATCGGCATTCAAACCGAGACATGAATCTAAACGATTGCATTATTTCCCCTGCGCTTCAGTGAGGGGCCCCCCTCTACACCCCTGCCCGACATGGGGTTAGTGGCGGCGGGCCCCGGCGCGGTCTCGTGCAGCAGTAGGCGCCCATTCTTCTACAGTTTCTCGTTTTAAAACAGCCAGAAAAGACAAAGAAAAGAAGATATTTTTATCCATTTAATTTTCTCCGGAAAGGCCGTAGCCGGAGGCCCCAGTTTAAGCACGTTTCCATGCACGGGGGCCCCCTTTAAAGAAGCCTACGAGCATCTTTAGAGGCACCGCCCCAGGGGGCCCCCAAAGTGCGACGGAGGGGCCCCCAGAGGTTGCATTTCAACTGTTTGTTTTAATGAACTTTGTAATTCAACAGGATTAGCACTTTACTCGGGCGCAAACGCCAGCTAACACACAGGGCCCCACCGTCCGCACACCTGCAGGGTCACTGCCCGGCCCGGGAGGGGGGCCTCTCGAATCGCAGCAGCAGCAGCTGCTCTTGCCAACTCGGGGCTTTGTCAGTGCATGCAGAGGCTCTTGCAAGTGCAGTGCAGCTCCGTTGCGGGGCGGAAGCTGCTGCTGGCCGCTGGGGCGGCTGGGGGCCCCGCGGGCTGTGTCTCTGTGTGTGTCGCACAGAACCCCCGGAAGCAGAGGGAAACAGAAAGCTATTTGAACTTGAAGGCAAAGCGGGGGCAAAAACGCATGCGCAACAAACCCCGGGAGTCAAAGATCCCCCATGGGGCCCCGCAGCTAGCCACCAGTTAACTGCGCCTAGCCACCAGCTAGCCACGCCTAGCCACCAGCTAGCCATTGCACTTGCAGGCAGCTAGCCATGAGAAACGGCAGCAGCGAGAGAAGGCTGCAGTGTAACGAGCCACGCTGAGGACAGTGATGGGCAGCAGAGAGAGCAGCACCAAACCGACGAGTGCCCCAACCGGCCGAGGGTTTAGCGCTCGCTAGGGTGTACGCTAGGGTTTGGGGTTTCAAGCAAGTGCGCTGGAGGCAGCACAGGCAACTGCCCCTTCTTCTGGGGTGTGGCAGAGGCAGAAGAAACCTCGCAGCTAAATAGACGAAGGATTAAACAAAGACATAGAGTACAAAAAGCAACGCAACCTACGCCATCTCTGGCCCTTTTGCTTGTGTTGCTGCTGCTGCTGCTACGATCTACCTTCTACTGCGCTGGGCCTGCTTTTGGTGCTCCTGAGCACTGTTGCACCTCGCATGCGTTCCCTGTTCTTTTGCATGCAGCAAAAGGCTCCAGCGAGCAACTTAGCGCATGCGAGCAGCAAAACGAGCCCAAATTGCAGCAGATTGAACACAAACATAAAGTTTTGATAGAAAAAAGTTGGCATTTTATGCATCTTTACGCATATCTGTGCATGCGGGTATATATACACGCGTAGGTGAGTTGCTGGCATCATTGCAAAAGCTGTGGGGCCCCTCCAGCCACAGTAGGGGCCCTGGCTCCAAGCCGCAGCAAAGTTCGCCTTGTAATGTTTGCATGTATGCGCTGCTAGATGTGTAGCTGGCGAGCTGGCGAAGTGGCCTCCAGCCTCCCTACCAATCCGCATGCGTGCATGCATGCATGCATGCATCCACGCACGCATGCATGCACGCAGACCAACCTCTGTGAAGACAAGCGCATGCAGGTGCATGCAAACGCATGCACGCGCATGCTACTAGGGTTGCTGCTGAGGTGGGAGCCAGATGTTGGGGTCTATCTCAGGATTGGCTAGAAGTCTCAAGTAGCTTTGGTGGGCGTGCTCGATGATGCGCCAGGCCTGGGGGGCCCCCAAGGGGGCCCCTCCGTAGTCAAAAGTGTTGGGCTTTGAGGGGCCTCCCGGGGTGTTGAGTTTGTAGTTGCTGAACCAGAACTTCAAAGAGTCAAGAAAGCCAGGGCGCAGCAGCTCGAGGTCTTGGGGAGAGTTGAGGGCCCCAAAAAGAGGAGAAAGAGAAGAAACAACCAAAATCTTATAGTCCATGCAGCCGCTGTCAATCAGAGCCAAAGCCCCTATCACCTAAAGCACAAAAGAAAACTAGGCGGCTAGCTAGTTAGCTAGCTAGCTAGCAGCGCGGAGCTTGCCTGCCGAAAGCCAACTACACACCTAGTCGCGCGCACCTACTTAAGCAGCTGCCTAGCTACCCAGCTAGCTAGCGAGCTAGCTAGCTAGCTAGCTACCCAGCTAGCTAGCTAGACCCCCTAGAGCTCGCTGAACAGCGCCTGATACCCAGCCCCAGCATGAAGAAATCAAAATAAGCAAGCAAAAAAAAGGAAATGAAAAGACAGGCAAGCAAATGCTCAATGAGAAATCAGAAAGCCACCAAAGCCGAGCAAGAAGATCTTAGCCCCCTAACCAGCATGCCGATGTAGAAACAAAGACAAAATAAAAGAACATAAATATCAGCAAGAGAAAGCAAGGAAACCAACCTACCAAACAAAACCAAAAAGGAAACAAGACCGAGGAGTGAAGAGACAGAGGAAAAAGGAAAACGACAGGAATGACGCAGGGCAGACATAAAAAGGAACCAAAACAATAAGGACACAAACACAAGGAAACAAGAAACAAAGGTGAAAAAAAAACGCCGAAGAGCACAAAGCAGTAAAGAAACGAAAGTGGGAAACGAAAAGATAAAGGAGAAAACAATCAGCCAACAACAAAGAAACGAAAGAAACAACAAAGCAACAAAACAACAAAGAAAGAGGAAGATGTAAAAACAATTGAGAAATAAATCGATGAGGAAACAAGGGAAAGAACGCAACAGCAAGGACACAAAGGGAGAAACAAGAGAACACGGGAACAGAGAAAGGAACAAAACTATAAAGAAAGGCAAGAAACGAACAGCTAAAGAAACAGAAAGAAATAAATCAACAAAAAAAGAAAAGAAACGAACAAAAAAGCAAGGGATCAAAAGAGTTGAACGAAAGAATAAAGAAGCAAACAAAGAGAAGACCAAAGGTATAAAGAAACACTGAAGAAGTCCGCAAACAGCGGAACAAGTATTAAAGACACAAATAATAAAACAATAAAGAAATAAAAGAGGAAACAAAGAAAGACGAGGCAAATAATAATAATAATCAACAAACGGCAAAGAAGCAAAAAGGCAAAGAACAAAGAAACATGTGAAGGACCAAATAACAAGTAAACAAAAAAGAAAACAAAGAAACAAATGATAAGCAAAACTAAAAGAGAAAAAATAAATAAATAATAAAAAATAAATAAAAAAGTTAGAACTCAGGGCGAACCTTGGCTTCCACAATTTGTCCAGTTTCATATTTTTGCGCTGTCACCTCTACGACATCCAGAGGATCTCCGTCTCCGGGGAGGTTTTGTGCTTCATTAGAAGAATAAAAGTGACAATTATTACTATTTTTAAACCCCTTTTTAGGGTTTAAACCCTCTTTTGAATTCAAATCCGGGGGCCCCCCCCTGCTGCAGCTGAACCCTAACTCGGGGGGCCCCCAGGGGCCCTCCCACGTGCGCGGCAGCGCCCCGTACGAGCCCAGCACTGGCCAGCGGAGGCTGCGGAGGCAGCCTGAGAGCAGCACAGCACAAGTTCCCTTGGATTTGCTGCTGCTGCTGCTGCTGCTGCTGCTGCTGTTGCTGCGCTGCTGCTGTGTTGCTGCTGTGGCGTCGCTGTTGTGTTGCTGCTGCTGCTGCTGCGGAGTTGCTGCTGCTGCAGGGTTGCTGCTGTCTTGTCGCTGCTGTGTTGCTGCTGCTGCGTTGCTGTGCTTGAGAAGGCGCAGCAGCAGCAGCAGAAAGCGAAGGAGACCGGAAGAGAAGGACAACACAGCAGCAGCAAAGCAGTAGCAGCAAAAGGAGAAAAAAGAAGACAAAAAAGAAAACAACTGCAAGGCAGAAAAGCAGAAAAGCAAAAAGTGATAAAATAACATGGAGACATAAAGACAGAAACAAAAAAGAAGTAAACAAAGGACGAAGAGACAAACAAACAAAAGAAATCAGAGAAGCAGCAAACTGTCGGCAACTGCAGCTGCTGCAGCAGCTGCTGCTGCTGCTGGTTACACACTGTAGAGCTCTGTGGAGCAGCCGCAGCTGCTGCAGCCGTTTGGCTGCCGCGGGAGCAGCGGATTGGCTGCTGCAGCTATGATGCTGCTGTGCAGCTGCAACAGGTGCTGCAGCAGTTGCTGCAGCAGCTGCTGCAGCAGTTGCTGCAGCAGCTGCTGCAGCAGCCCAGTCTGTGTCTCTTTTTGCTGCCCCTGGCCCCTCACCATCTTTGTGTCTGTCTTGTCTTATTGGATTCCAGGACTCTCTCAAGACAATTTCATATTTGCTGCTGTCTCCGCAGGGGATCTCGGAGACGAATCTCACGAGGGGCGCGGCAGCAGCAGCTGCTGCTGCTGCTGCGGGGCCCGCTGCTGCGGCCTCCGCCGCTTCCGCTGCTGCTGCAGCTGCAGCAACTGCAGCAGCAGAAGACGCAGCACTTGTGGGGTCCCCAACACCCACTAAGAGAGGAATATCATGTAAGGGAGAACAAAAAGAGTTATCTTTCCTTTTGAAATGAACAGCAAAGCCCTCTTGCCCAGGAGTGCCTGACAGCACGGCCGTGCAGTCAACCCCTGTTCCTGCTGCTGCTGCTGCTGCTGTTCCTGCTGCTGCTGCTGCTGCTGCTGCTGCTGCTGCACGGGGGAATGGTTCGTCTGCAGACGGGGGCTTTGCTGCTGCTGCTGTTGCGCGGCCACTCTCCTCTGCTGAGGTGTAGCCTGCAGCTGAGAGGGAAAAACTGTTCCTGCTGCTGCCAGCAGCAGCAGCAAGAGCAGCAGCAGTTTGGCGCAGCGGCCGCAGCCACCGAAAAGTGAGAAAGGCTTGGAATCGCGCAGACATTCTCTTTGCAGGCCACCGGTGCGGCCTGATGCTGCCAGCCAGCCTGGTGCTGCTGCTGCTGCTGCTGCTGCTGCTGTTGCTGCTATGCTCGCTGCTGCCCAGGATGGGCGCTACTTCCCACAGAGGGGAAGAAATGGCAGCAACGGCTGCTACAGCAGTTGCTGCTCTTCTTGAAGGGGCTGCTGAAAGAAAAGAAATACTTTGTGCTGCGGCGCTGCTGCAAAAACAACGAAGGGGCTGTCCTCCGAGCAGCAGCAGCAGCAGCAGCAGATGCAGCGAATAGCTGCCTTTGCTGAGACGCGATGACTGCAAGCCCCGAGACATTAGCAGCAGCTGCAGAATCAGAAGCGTACCAGTAACCTAACTGCTGCTGCTGCTGCTGTAGCAGCTGCTGCTGCAGTAGGGCTGCAGCAGCAGTCACGGCTCGATTGCCTCTGCACCGGCAGCAGCAGCAGACAGGCACCTGATCTACCCCGTTCCCCAGCGCGCATGAGCCTCAACAATAACAAGAAAAAGTTTAACTCGTTCCAAATATAATAAAAAGAAGCCCAAGGATTTGTCGCAGCAGCGGCAACTGAAACAGCAGTCGTTGCTGCTGCTGCCCCGACGTGGGGTCGGTGTTGACTGGGGCCCCGCTGCTGCTGGCGGCTAACAGCACAGGGGTAAAACTGCGGACTTCTCCTGATTTTCTTTTATTTTTGTTTTTCTTGTTGCTGTTTAAGCTGCTGCAGATGCTGTAGCAGCTGTAGCAGCAGCAGAAGGACCCCTCCTGGGCTGTGCAGCACGAAGAGCGCCGTCGGCAGCAGCAGCAGCAGCAGTAGCAGCGACACAAGTTGTGTAGAACAGCCGTAAGGCACAATGGGACCTGCGTCGAAGCGATATACCGTGCAAATTCGTTTGCTGATAGCTGCTTGAGCTGCTGCTGCTTCTGCTGCTGCTGTTGCTGCTGCCGTTCCACATAGGCCTGAGCTTGTCTTTGCCTCTCGGCTAGCTGCGACCTGCTGCCACTCCCGCGAAAAACGCAGCAGCAAATGCAAAGCAGAGAGCAATGCATGATGGATGTGCATGAAGAACAGCAGCAGCAGCAGGGGGAGGAGCAACAGCAAGAAGAGCAGCAGCACCATGAGCAGCAGCAGCACCATGAGCAGCAGCAGCATCATGAGCAGCAGCAGCAGCATGAACAGAAGAAGCAACACGGGCAGCAGCAGCAACATGAGCAGCAGCAGCATCAGCAGCAGCAGGCCGTGCCTTTGAAAAAGCGCGTAGTTACTTTTTCTCCAGCGGAAAAGGATGTGAAAAGTACAGCAATAAGTCCTTCCCGCTTCTACGCACATCCTGCAGGCAGCAGCAGCAGCAGCAGCAGCAGCAGCTCAAGCTGCAGTGTCACGGGGTGCAAAGCACAGGAAGATAGCTGCAGCAGCTGGAGCTCTTTTCCCCGTAAAAAAAAGTCAGCAGAATGTTCTGCTGCTTCTGTCTTCAGTGCAGCAGCAACAGCAGCACCCGCCAGCAGCAGCAGCATCAGCAGCAGCAGCTTTCTCAGCAGTCCGGTGTCTGCCTTCCAGCGAGTGCGCTTGTGGAGGCGCGTTGAATCCCTGCTGCTGCAGCAGCAGCAGGAGCAGCAGCAGCAGCAGGAGCAGCAGCAGCAGCAGCAGCGCAAGGCGAATCCTTTGGTGCCTCTTTGGGTGTTTGAGAAGCAAGCAGAAGCAGCAGCATTTGCTGCGCTGCTGCGGCGGCGGCTGCCTGCTGCTGCTGTTGCAGTGTGGGCTGAAGAAACTGCAGAAACGGGGCTGCGGCGGTTTTGCTGCGGCTCTTTGAGAGCCCTTCTTGCTGCTGCTGCTGCTGCTGCTCGCAAAGCAGAACGGATCCGACAGCTGCAGCCTCTCATCCATGCGCGTCCTGCTGATATTCGTGCTGCTGCCGCTGCCGCTGCTGCTGCTGCTGCTGCTGCTGCTGAGCGTGCTGCTATGGAGTACCCTGTCAAAAGCAGCAGCAGCCTGACAGAGGATGGCGACGGCAGCAACGGCAGCAGCAGCAGCACCACCACCTGCACCACCAACGAGAACAGCAACAACTGCAGCAACTGCAGCAGCGACAGTAGCAGCAGTAGCAGCAGCAACAACAGCAGCAGCAACAGCAGCAGCAGCAACAGCAGCAGCAGGGTGTGCAACCTGTACGAGGTGCTGGAAAGCGGGCGGCCTGTTTGGCTCTACTTCGACTTGGAATATTTGTTTCACCTGAATCCGCAGCAGGCGTCAGCAGCAGCAGCAGCAGCAACGTGGCAGCAGCTGCTGCTGCAGCTGCGGGGCTTCTTGTGCAGCAGCTGCAGCATCTGCTGCCACCCCAGCGAGTTCGTCTCGCTTGACGGCACCAGCAGCAAAAAGTTTTCAAAGCATTTAATAATAAAGGCAATTCGGCAAAACAAACAAATGCAAGAAAAAAGAAACCAACATCCAGCCATGTGGCTTCTGCGAGAGGACGCAGACGCTGCTGCTGCTGCTGCTGCTGCTGCTGCTCCTGCTGTTTCCTCTCCTGCTGCTGCAGCGGGAGCTGAAAGCGTGATTCAGAAAGGTGGTGCCGATGAAACGGCAGCAGCAGCAGCAGCAGCAGCAGCAGAAACGACACAGCAGGATGATGGAGATGGCTCACCTGCAGCAGCAACGCCCAGCGCAGCAGACGCAGCAGCAGGAGCAAAAGCAGAAGCAGCAGCTACAGCATCGTCACCAGCAGCATCAACAACAGCGCCAGCGACAAGGCTAGCAGCAGCACTGACAAATGCAGCAGCAGGAACAGCAGCAGCAGCAGCAGTAGCAGCAGCAGCAGCAGAAAGGGGCCAATCAACTTTAATGGCTGACGCCCAGACGGCTGGACGCTTTGCGGAGGTCTTCGTTATGCATCTTTCTAACCGCATGTACATTCTTCACCAGCAGCAGCAGCAGCAGAAACTGAAGCAGCAGCAGGAGCAGAAGCAGCAGCAGGAACAACAGCAGCAGGATCAGCAGCAGCAGGAACAACAGCAACAGGAATACCAACAGCAGGGAGAGATTCAAGGGGAACAGAACCCGCAACAACAGCAGCGGGAGGAACAGCAGCAGGAGCAGCAGCAGGAGGAAGAGCAGCAGCAAGGACAGCAGCAGCAGGAGCATCAGCAGCAAGGACAGCAGCAGCAGGAACATCAGCAGCCGCAGGAGCGGCTGGCGCCTCAGTGCGAGCAAACTGAGCGCGAGGAGCAGCACACGGGGCAGCAGCCTCCACAGCAGCAGCAGGAACAGCAAAACCACAGAAGCTGCGGCTGTGCTGCAGCAGCAGCAGCAGCTACTTTAGATGATTTGCTGCTGCTGTTTCCCATAGCAGAAGAAACAGGCGAAAGACGCTGCCTCATTGACTTAGCTGTATACACTCGTAACAGGTGCTTCAGGCTACTGGGGTCTTCTAAGTATGGACAAGACACCCCACTAACGGTACTTGCTGCTGCTGCTGCTGCTGCTGCTGCCTCTGCTGCTGCTTTTGCTTCTGCTGTTAGTGCTGCTGCGGGCAACTGTGCGTGTCTTTGTGGGTGCATGGCTTCATGTGCTGCTGCAACTTGCTGCCGATGGCAGGCCTGCGTCCACAACAGCAGCTGTGTCACACTGCCTCTGCTGCTGCTGCTGCTGCTGCTGCTGCTGTTGCAGGTGAGCAGCGAATGCTGCTATCCCTTGGGGCCCATACTCGAGCTGCAGCTGCTGCGCAGCCTGGTCAGCTTCGTTCCCCCAGGGCTTGAAATTCCTCTTTTCCACCATCCCTTAATTGCGCCTGCTGCTGCTGCTGCTGCTTCTGCTGCTGCTGGAGGCAAACGCAGCAGCAGCATCTGGGAAATGCAGTGGGACGAAACTGCAGAAAGCAGCAGCAGCGGCAGCTCGTTGAGGCGGCTGCTGCCCGCGCGGCCCGTCTTCAGCGCAGAGGCACCGGGGGGCATTCAGATGAAGCAGCCAGCAGCAACAGCAGCAGCAACAGCAGCAGCAGCAAACCCGTTGCACTTCTCGTTTGAGACTGAGTCTGTTCCCGGCCTCCCCTCGCACATCCCAGGGCTGCGCGACGCTGCTGCCTTCATAGTTGCCTTTTGGGACCAGGTGAGGGATGCAGCAGCAGCGGCAGCAGCAGGGCAGCAGCTGCGCGAAGTGCAGCAGCAAGAAGTGCAGCAGCAGCAGCAGCAGCGGGCGCTACGCGGCTGCAGCTGCGTCTATTACCCCTCTTCTGAGACCCTGGCAATAACCCCAAGAAACAATCGGTACTGCATGAACTTAGGAAGGTATTTCTGTCAGCTTTTTGTTTGCTGCTCTGCCTTTTTGGATATTTTTTTACTTTCCACCTTAACAGGCAACTGTGCCTCTCGGGCCCTAGCTAGCTGCGCCCGTTGCTGCTGCTGCTGCTGCTGCTGCTGCTGCTGCTGTGTTCGCCTACTCTTTGCCTTTTGGCTCTGCCTCAGCTGGTCTGCTGCTTTCCATTACCTAGCCATAGCTACAGCAAAGTTGCAGCAGCAGCAGCAGCAGCAGTGCTGCGGAGCCAAACGTGCACACAACACTTTGCTGCGTAGAGTTGGCCGCTGCTTGCAGCAGCAGCGTCTGCTGCTGCGAGAGGCGTCTGTGTCTCGTGTTGCTTCTTTTGAAATGAATGCTTTGCTGCTTCGACGTTGTCTTTGCGCTGCTGGGGTGTACAGACAGCACAAGTCCAATGGCATCTTGCTCGTGCTGCAGATACACCAGGGCCTCTTTTGGCAAAAGTGCCACGATCCAGATTGTCAGCAGTTCCGTTCTCCCAGATTTAGTCTGCCTGCGGCTCTCACAGACGCGAGCGCGCTGCTGCTGGACGCTGCTGCTGCTGCTGCTGCTGCTGACGGCGGCGAAGACCCGGCTACTGCGGCAGCTGCTGCTTCCCCGGACTGTGCTGGTGTTACTGCGGCAAGAGCAGCAGCAGCAAACTGTACAACTAGTGCTGTCGCACCAATGGACTGTGCTGCTGCTGCTGCTGCTGCTGCTGCGACAGGGTGCAGCCCGCCTCTGCAAAGTGCAGCAGCCGCAGCAGCAGCAACAGACGCAGCAGCAGCTCCTGCGGGTGCGCCATGCGGCGGTGCGGCGTGCTGGCAGCAGCAAAATCCAACACCTTCTTCCCATCTGCAGCTGCAGCAGCAGCTGCAGCAGCTACCCCAGCACCAGCCACGCGACATTGAACAGGAGCAGCAGCTGCAAATGCAGCAGCTGCTGCTGGACTTCGACAACTTTGAAGCGTTTTGAGCTGCTGCGGCTTCGGCCCATTTTCATCTTCTTTGTTTTTGTGTCTTTTCGTTGGCTGCTGCTGATGCCCTTATGTAAGCATGCTGTCCTTCTCGCGAGCCGCTGCTGCCGCCGCAGCCGCTGCTGCTGCTGCTGCTGCTGCTGCTGCTGCTGCCCGCTCGCACATGCGACTGGCATCTTGCTGCTGCAGCAACCGCAACACCAACAGCAACAGCAACAGACCACTGATGAGCCTTGAAGAGCCAGAAGCAGGAGTGAACGCAGCAGACCCTATGAAACAACTGATGACTGTTGCCGCTTCTACTGCTGCTGCTGCTGCTGCTGCTGCTGCTCGTAAATGGCCAACACAGACTACGAATCTGCAGCAATAAATATGTGATGTTCTGGACTACTGGACTCACAGCAGCTTGCAGGGATCGCAGCAGCAACACGTCAGAGGATATTTCTTTCCGTCGCAGCACCTGAGCAGCAGCAGCCGCAGTAGGAGCAGCAGGAGCAGCAGCTAGTGTAAGCAGCGTTACTGTGATGCAACTTTGCTGCTGAACATTCAAAGATGCCTCTTGCTGCGCAGTTAGCTGTGTTGCTGCTGCTGCTGCTGCTGCTGCTGCTGCTGTAACTGACTTGCGCCTCCTCATCATACGTAAGCGGCAGCTCTCCCCTCTCGGCGCATTCCGCAATGATTTTCTGCAGCACTGTCAAGTCACAGTAGTAGCAGCAGCAGCAACAGCAGCAGCAGCAACAGCAGCAGCAACAGCAGAATGTGCCCGCCCCTCATACTTGGCCGGAGGCGAGAGACAGTCGCTGCAGGTACTCCTGCAGCGGCGACCGCAGCTGCTGAATCGACAGCAGCAGCAGCAGCAGCAACAGCAGCAGCCTGGATGGCAATCCTTACTGCCGGAGTCCATGCGTGTTGTCGCTTGCAAAGATTGGAGAGAGATGGCGGAGAAGGTTGCTGCTGCTCTCACCAGTAGCTGCTGCTGCAGTGCAGCAGCAACACGGGACGCGACTGGCTGCAGAACAAAGTCCGCCTCTAGAAAAAGCTGCGGCAGCAGAAGCAGCAGAAGCAGCGCAAGGCAGCAGCAACAGTACACGGGAAGCTCAGCACCCCTCGCCTTTTGTGGCGCCATCGGCTGCAGCAGCAGCAGCAGCAGCGGCAGCAGCAGCAGCAGCAGCCGCAGCGGCTGCACGAAGCTGCCGTGCTGAACAGCAGGCACGGTACAGACAGGCGGGAAGAGATAAAGCCCCGCAGAGCCAAACAGAAGTGGGGGCGGAGAGGCAGCAGCAGCAAAGACACAAAACCCAGACGCAGCAGCAGCAGCAAAGACGCAAAACCCAGACGCAGCAGCAGCAGCAAAGACACAAAGCTCAGAGGCAGCAACAGCAGCAGCAGCGCCGCCTACTGCCGCGCGCTGAATGCCTTCGGACTGCTGCGCAAAGTCGCACTTCTCCACAGCCAGCAGCAGCTGCTGCAGCGACGCCGGCGCATGCAGCCCCAAAGTTCGCAGAGCAGGCAGCAGCTGCAGCTGTACGTACACCCCACGAGACGCACATGCAGCAGCGCCACATGCAAGACGGGCGCCTCGCGAACCAGACACACAGTGAGTAGCAGCAGCAGCAGCAGCAGCAACAGCAGCAGCAACAGCAGCAGCAACAGCGACAGCAGCAGCAGCAACAGCAGCAGCAGCAGCACCCCTTCTGCCTGCAGGGCGTTCTCAGTCGAAGCAAGCAGAGCGATGGCTCCATATATAGCCAAGTCCGTGGAGGAAAAGACTCGTCGTCTGCTGCTGCCGTCGCTGCTGCTGTTGCTGCTGCCGCTGCTGTTGCTGCTGCTGATGTTGCTGGCCCGAAAGGCGTGCAAGTGCGCTGAGGGCTGCTGCCGCTGCTGCTGCCTCAGATCTGCTGCTGCCAACGCATGCAAAGCCCCGACGCAGCACCAAGCAGCCTCAGCAAAGTTCAGAGTGCGCAGCGCCAGCGCTCTAAGGCCAAGACACAACGCGCAGCAGCAGCAGCAGCAGCAGAAGCAAAAAGATAAACCTTTTGAAGCTTCTTGTTTCAACTTTCGTGATTCATGCACCATCCATCCCTAGCAGAGGAGACAAAAGCAGCAGCAGAAGCAGCAGCAGCACTGGTGGGCTGCAGCAGCGGCAGCGCTGGTGGGTTGCAGCAGCAGCAGCAGAAGCAGCAGCAGCAGCTGCAACAGCAGTGGGTTGCAGCAGCAACACCAGTCGCACCCCCTCAGTGCAGCTGCTTCAGGGTCACCAAGTGCCGCTGGCTTCCCCTTCTTTCGTGCTGCAGGAGCAATAGCAGCTGCAGCAGCAGCAGTAGCAGCAGCAGAAGACGCTGCAGCGGCTGCAGCAGCAGGCGACCTCCCAAGATTCCGCAAGTCCTCCAGAAGCGCCTCTTCTGATACTGAGAGAAGCGGCGCTGCTGCTGCTGCTGCTGCTGCTGCTGCTGCTGCGTTTGCTGCTGCCTCTCCAGCCTGCAGCGGAACTGCTGTTGCTTGGGGGCCAGCGAGCAGCAGAGCGGCGCAGTGCATATACAGGCTCTACAGCAGCAGCAGCAGCAGCAGCAGCAGCAGCGCCAGCAGAAAGGCAGCAACAGCAGGGACACAGCAGCACAAGCACCATATGCAGTTCAGAGAGGCCTAGTCACAATTTTTGGAAGGAAAGAAAATGCTGAGACTGCTCCTTCTATTCTAGTTGCTGCTGCTGCAGCAACTGCTACTACTGCTTCTGCTGCTACTGCTTCTGCTGCTGCTGCTGCTGCTGCTGCTGCCCACATGTGGCAGCTGCCGGAAGGGCAGCGGGTATCGCCGTAAGTCTTCAAGCAGCCGCACGGCGCCCTGTGAGAAGCAAAAAGTCCTCGCAGCAGCAGCAGCAGTAGGCGAAGCAGCAACAGCAGCAGCAGCGAAGGCTGGAGCCCATGAAACAGCAAAAGCACCCGCAAGAAGGAATAGAAAGCAGCAGCAGCAGCAGCAGCAGCAGCAGCAGAAGCAGCACACACCTGGTAATCCCCTAAGTCCATGGCTGCTGAGGCCCCTCGCAGCACCGAAATGACTCTTTGGCAAGTTGTTGCAGCAGAAAAGCGCTGCTGCAACAGCAGCAGCAGCAGCAGCAGCAGCAGTGGCCGTGAGAGCAACAAGAAGTCTCCACTTATCTCCCAGATGAACTCAGAAAAGAAGCAGCAGCAAGACAACAGGCATAGCAGCAGCAGCAGCAGCAGCAACGAATGCGGCTACGCGCTTGAAGGATGGCAGAATCACCTGGTGAGGCTGCAGCTGCTGCTGCGATCGTTGCAGCTGCAGCAGCAGCTGCTGCTGCTGCTGCTGCTGCTCTTGTCTAGTGCGAGCCCAGTGCTCGTGTGGCACTTCTCTTAGAAACAAGACGCCGAACCACCACTCTCCTTTGCATCTATTGCCACTGCTGCTGTTGCTGCTGCTGCTGCTGTCGCTGCTGCTGCTGCCGCTGCTGCTGCCGTCGCTGCTGCTGCTGAGTTCCTGCAGTGGCGCTGCCGCTTCAACGCACCTGCTGCTGCTGCTCTGCGGCGAAGGCGGCCGATTGTCTAAAACGCCTCCCTGTTCCTGCTGCTGCTCCTGCTGCTGCTCCTCCTCCTCTTGCTGCTGCTGCTGCTGCTGCGCTGCTGCTGCTGCTGAAATCTTGGGAGGGGCTACGGCCCGCAGCAGCGCGAAAGCCTCGCTGTAGGCGGACGCGTTGCGAACCCTCTCGCTTGCTGCAGCCAGGCGCTCGCACTGCAGCAGCAACAGCAGCAGCAGCAGCAGCAACGACAGCAAGAGTCCTAGCCTTCCTTCTCTAGAAGCAAGAGCAGCAGCAGCAGCAGCAGCAGCAGCAGCAGCAGCAGCAGCAGAGCCAACGACTGGAGAAGGAGGGGTGCGTATATGAGGGCTCACCACTGCCAGAACAGTCGCTCTAAACTCTTCCACTTCCAGCTTCTGCTCTTCCTGTTGGAACTGCTGCTCTTGATGCTGCTGTTCCTGCTGCTGCTGCTGCTGCTGCTGCTGTTGCTGCTGCAGCTGTGGGTCCTTCGCCAATTGCTGCTGCCGCCGCCACAGAGCTGGCAGCATCAGGTGCAGTCGGCGGGCTGCTGCTGCTGCGCTGCAGGAGCTCAGCCGCATCTGCAGGAAAGGCCCGCAGGCTGTGGGCCCTTCGGCCCAGCAGCAAACTCCGCAGACGCATGTGCTGCTGCTGCTGCTGCTGCTGCTGCTGTTACTGCTGCTGCATTCGAGGTCGCGCTTGCTGCTGCTGGGGAGGGGAGGAGGTGTGGCAGACATCGTCTCGCGTTGAGCAGACACCGCATGTGCTGCAGCTTGAAATTGCGGACGGCCAAGCCCGTTGTAAACCCTAAACCCTAAACCCTAAACCCTAAATCTTAAACCTACACCCTAAGCTTGATCTTTCTGGGGTCTCTGCGGCTGGAAGATGTACCGGCAGAAGACACAAAAATCGGAGGCGACTCCCTGGGTAACTGCTGCCCATGCTCTGCTGCTGCTGCTGCTCTCCTGCTGCTGCTGCTCTCTTGCTGCTGCTGCTTCGTCAATCCAAAAATATGGCTAAGAACGAGAAAGGCCAATTCCCCAAGTGGCCAAATTGGGTTAGGAGCAGCCCCTTTGTGTGGGGCCCCGTGGAGGCCCTTTTGGGGCTCCTGAACCACAGGGGCGTCTGTCATTGCTGCTGCCACTGCTGCTGCTGCTGCATCGCTTCTTGTTATTATTTTTGCTTGTCTTTATGGTTTGTATGTAAATAAAAAGCTTAAAAGTGAATTATACACTAGAAAAGCCACTTGTTTCAGAAAAAAGAAGCCGCTGCACTGAACTAGGGGTCTGCTGCTGCTGCCGCCGTTGCTGCTGCTGTTGCCAGTGGTCTGCTGCAGTTGCTGCTGCTGCAGCGACTTCACGCCTTCCTAGAGGCGAATTTTCCACATTTTGCAAGTATTACATGTTTGTTATTTCATATTAACATATTATAACCGACTATTGCTGCCACATTTCCCCCAAGACTCCCCAGGGGCCTCTGCTGCTAGCCGTGGCCCTGACCGCTGCGCAGGCCTTCGGCTGGTCGGCAGCGCTGGGTGGCGCCCGTGAGGTGTATAGACACCTCGGCGCGTCTGTCTTCCCTTTTTATTAAGTATTCTAGAAGCTTTTGCTGCACAAAGATCCCCGTTTGCTGCTGCAGCTGCTGCTGCCACTGCGGCCGGTGCTATCTTCCCTAAGCAGCTGCTGCCGGCCCTGCTGCCTGCGAGCCTCATGAGGCCCTCCCATTTGCAGCACCCCCCTCAGTGCGCAAACCAGGGTATCCCGTTCCCCCTCCCCGAGATGGAGCAGCAACAGCAGCAGCAGCAGCAGCAGCAGCAGCAGCAGCAGCAGCAGCAGCTGCAGCAGCCGGGGGGTGCGGGCCCCGGCGTGTCTGCAGCCAACACAGACACACCGGCGCAGCAAACTGCCGGAAGCAGCACACACAAAGCTGCTGCTGCTGAGGGGCCCCCGCAGCCAACCCAGGGGCGCTGCTGCACTGAGAAAAGCCCGGGGGGCCCCTCCCCCAGTACCCCATTGGGGGCCCCCCAGGCCTCCTCATCAGAGAAGTGGCGGATTACAGAAACCCCCGACGCAGAGACGGATGCAGCAGCAGCAAGAGCAGAAGCAGCAGCAGCAAGAGCGGAAGCAGCAGCTGCTGCTTACTCTAAGGGGGCCCCTACACAGGCCCCCCAAGGCCCTGGGGGGGCCCCCGCTGCTGCAGCTAGGGGCCCCTCTGAAAGTCCCAAGACACACATTAGCCTCCCTGAAGACGCCAACTGGGACTCCATGTATAAGCGGGTGCGCCTGCTGCTGCTGCTGCTGCTGCTGCTGTTGCTGCCGCTGCTGCTGCTGCTGCTGCTGTTGCTGGGACGTTCGCACCTCTGCTGTTGCTGCTGCTGCTGCTGCTGTTTGCCCTGAACTACAGCTGATGTCCATGCTACCCCTGACACTGCGACGGCCTGAAGCAAGCGCTGTGTTGCTTCTGCTGCTGCTGCTGCTGCTGCTGCTGCTGCTGCAGCTGCTGAGTCTCAGCCACGAGAGGGCTGGGGCAGTGACATACCTCGGGAGGCTTCCTGCTGCCTTTGGCAGCTTAAAAGGTTCTCCCAGAAGCCCCCAAGACTTCGATGCTGCTACCCCTCGCAGCAATGGGGGCCCCCCGGGGGCCCCCGGGGGGCCCCCCTGTAGTTTGCGGGGCACCACTTATGTGAGGATGCAGCCGAGTAAGGATCTGCCGGTCTCCAGCAGCAGCTGCGACGAGTCCTTCCATGCATGCAAAGTGCGTTTTGTTGCTGCTGCTGCTGCTGCTGCTGCTATGGCCGTTGTTGCTGCTGCTGCTGCTGCTGCTGCTGTTAGCGGTGCCCGCTGCTATTGCTGCTGCTGCTGCTTCCCCTGTCCGCGCTCCTCGCTGCTGTTGCCGTTTCCCGCCGTTCTCTCGCCTGCAGCCCCCTCCGCATCGGCTCCAGCCGCCGCTGCTGCTGCTGCTGCTGCTGCTGCTGCTGCTGCTGCTGCAGGTGCTGTCGGGCTGCTTGGCCCTGCGCGACGCGTGGCAAGAAAGGTTCCCGCCCCGCCCCTCCCCCGCAGTCTTCCCGGGGCCCCCCCTCAGCGCCGAGGGGCCCCCCGGGGGCGTCCGGGGCTCTGAGGGTTCTACGGAGCCTCTCTTTGTGCCCAGCGCTGTGCAGCCGCCCCCAGACATAAGTGCTGTTTGCCGCATGCAAGAGGGGGTTTACCAGGTACTTGGCTAAACCCTAGTTTAGGGTTTGGGGTGCTTGGGAATCATATTTGGTGGTTTGAATAAATGCATATTTTATTCATTGCACTTGGCTTTGCAGCTCACTTTTGCTGCTTTGCTGCCAAATTTCTAAACCCTAGTTTAGAGTTTAAACGAGTTAATGAATCATATTTAGTGGTTTAAGTGAATGCATCTTTTATTAATTGTGCTTGGCTTTGCAGTTCAACTTTGCACTTTTGCTGCACAAGTTCTAAACCCTATTTTAGCGTTTAAACGACTTAGGGAATTGTATTCGCTGTTTTAAGTAAATGCATTTTTTATTAATTGTTTTTTATAGAATGTAATTATAAATTGTTCCAAAAATTAGTGGAGGCTCATATAATTCAAGAGGGGCTTTTGAATTATAAATCAGATGATATTGCTGCTTTAGAATGTAGAATTTATAAACGTAAGCAAAATTTATTATCTGCAAAAGATAAATTATGAAAGAATCTGTTTTTAAATGCTAAAATTAATATATTGTTTCGCTAAAAGTGGACACTGCCAAGTTTCAGCCACCCCAAAGACTAGTTCTGCTTCTTTGTTGCTGCACGCAGCTGCATGCAGCAACAAAGCGTGTCAGTGCAGATTTAGCTTTTCTTTTTGGTATTTTTCTGCATCTTTAAATCTCCTTTTACACATTTTGCATGCGCTTGTGGATCTAGAGGTCTTCGCAGCACCCAGACGAATGCATGCATCTTGTTCCACACTTCTGTCTTACTATTCGTGCACACCAAGCGCATCTACTTGCACCTTTATTTATATAATACTTGCACAAACTTTGTAACAGTCTTATTAAGTTTTTTAATGCACATTTTATGTGTCTTTTTGTTCTCGTGCACTTCCGTTAACCCGCGCTGACCCATGCCTGTTAATTTGTGGTGTGCGCAAACTTGAATTCATGAAAAGCTTCTTTTTGTCTGCTTTATATTTATTGTATAAATACAAAATAAGTAAAAAGATATTTCTTCAACAAGTTCTGTTCATACATATGTGTGCATGCGCATAAAAGTGTACCTACAGGTCTATTCACACCCACTAATATTTGCACGTATATGTAAATCAGCATAGGTAATTCCTATTTGCATATATACATGTGTATATGTATATATATGTATATATATATATACAATATATTATATATATGCATATATTGGCATATAAAACGTATGCGGCAGGTACAGGGCCTCTGCTTTAGGGTTTAGGTTTGAGGGTTTAGGGTTTGAAGTTCAGGGTTTAAGTTTTAAGGGCCAGGGTTTAGGGTTTAGGGTTTCGGCTGTAGCGTTTCTGTTGGGGCCGCGCAAGAAAGGATTGCCGTTTCTTTCCTTTCCCATTCTTATGTGGCTTTTGCAATTCAGCATTTATTTCTGTTTGTAATTAAAATTAAAACAATAAAATTAAACCATTGCAATTCTTTTTGTTATTTAAGGTCTACTACGATCCTGCATGCAAAGAGGCCCCCTCCCCAGACTCTCTTCCCCCTCTTTTGGGGCCCCCCATTCCCTCAGTCAAACAATTCCTCTCCAGCCTCAAAGAAATCATGACTGCTGTCCAAAGCCCAGGTGTGTGCCGCCCCGCTGCTTCTGCTGCTGCTTCTGCTGCTGCTGCTGTTTTTGCTGCTACGTCTGTTGCAGCTTTTGCTGCTGCTTCTATTGCTGCTTCTTTTGCTGTTGCTGCTGCTGGTTCTGCCGCGGTGCTGCTGATGCTGCGTGTAGTTCGCCTTTATTTCGGTCCTGTTTTGCCTGGCTGTGTGGATTCTATTCGCCGGATCCTTGGCAGCTCTTTGGTTCATTTACTTTCAAATATATTTATTTATTTACTTATTATTTAATTTATTAATTGAAGAGCTTTTGATTAACTTGCGCTGCACGCCGTAGCCAACGCTGCCTCTTCCACATGTCATTTGCTTCCGTCAGAGTTCCTTGTGGCAGCACAATCTGCGGAGCAGAAAGAACCAGAAAATAAACGAACAAAATAAACAATAAAACAGAAATAAAAAGGAAAAAGACAAATAGAGACTAGAAATAAAACAAAGAAACGCTTTCACTAGTTGGCGGATCAGTGCATCAACGACTGCTGTTGATTTTGCACAAAAGTTCGCGTTTTGCCTGCAGCTGCTCTTGATCTCCTTCAGCAAATATAAAATACAATTAAAAATGTTATTTTATGCATTTATGTTCTTTTTTGTAAATATAAAATACAATTAAAAATATTATTTTATGCATTTATGTTCTTTTTTGTTGATTTGTTTATGCCGTTAAGCCTCTGTTCGCGACGCCCGCAGCCGCGTGCCCATACATGAATTCCATCTTGCCTATGATGTGCTGCTGCTGCTTGCTTCTTGCTGCGCTGCGCTGCTGCTGCTTGCTTCTTGCTGCGCTGCGCTGCTGCTGCTTGCTTCTTGCTGCGCTGCTGCTGCTGGCCGGCCAGCGTGCAAGTCCTTTTGCTACCGGCGGCTGCGCTACTTGGAGGAGAAGTTCATTTTGCACACAATGTTCAACAGTGCTGCTGAGCTGCAAGAAACCAAAGACAACCACCACAGGGACTTCTACAATGTCCGCAAAGTGGACACCCACGTCCACCACGCCGCCTGCATGACGCAGAAGCACCTCCTCAGCTTCATCCGGTCAAACCTGCTGCTGCTGCTGCTGCTGCTGCTGCTGCTGCTGCTGCTGCTGCTGCTGCTGCTTGTGCGGACGCTGCTGGAGGTGCTGAGGATGCTGCTCGTGCGCCTGCTGCAGCTGCCGCTGCCTTGCCGCTGATGCAGATGCTGCGCACGCCGTTGCCGCTGCTGCCGCGCTGCTGCCTCTGCCGCTGCCGCTGCTGCTGCTGCTGCTGCTGCTGCTGCTGCTGCATGTGCGTATTCCGGGGAAGCGCGCTGCGGTGGCAGGCGGAAGTACGATGAAGAGAAGACGACAGTGGTGTACGTGACCAGCGGCGGCGCGGCACTGACTCTGGAAGATGTGTTTTGCAAAATGGGCTTAAATGCCTACGCAGCTTCCGTGGACTTGCTGGGAGTGCATGCACTGGGCTCTTGCTTTCAACGCTTTGACCTCTTCAACCAAAAGTATAATCCTTTTGGCCAGCGAGCCCTCAGAGATGTCTTTCTCAAGACGGACAACCACATCAAGGGTCAGCAGCAAAGCAGGCTTCTCTTTTAAACACCAACTTGACTTCAAGTCCTGCTTTGCTTCTTAAACGCCGGCTTCTCTTTAAATCCAGCTTTTTCTCGAACAAGAACTTCTCTTTAAAGCCGACTTCTTCTCTTTAAACCCAAACATCTTCTCTTTAAACCCGAACTTCTCTTTAAATCCAACTTCTTCTCTTTAAACCCAAACTTCTTCTCTTTAAACCCGAACTTCTCTTTAAAGCCGACTTCTTCTCTTTAAACCCGAACCTCTTCCTTTTAAATCCAGCTTCTTCTCTTTAAACACGAACTTCTTTTCCTTAAACCCGAAGTTCTTCTCTTAAAACACAAACTTCTTTTCTTAAACACGAACTTATCTTTAAATCCAACTTCTTTGCCTAAACCCAAACTTCTTTTCTTTGAGCCGATCTTCTTTTCTTTAATCCCAACTTCTCTTTAAACTCGAACTTCTTCTCTTTTAACCCGACTTCTTTCCTTTAAACCCAACTTCTTTTCTTTAAACCCGAACTTCTCTTTCAACCCGAACTTCTTTTCTTTTACCCCGAAATTCTTTTCTTTAACCCCAAACTTTTCCTCTTTAAACCCGAACTTCTTCTTTCTTCTTTTTCTTCATTTTGCACTCAGTGTTCATGCTTTCTTGCTTTCCACTTTTTCAAGGCGCTGTTGTCCACTTTTTTTCCTTGTGCGCGCTGATCTCATATTAATTTCATGTTTTTAAAAACTTCAGTGTTTATTATTAAATAGACTTAATTTCATGTTTTTTAAGATTCTAATATTTATTATTAAATGGAATTGAAAGCAAACTTGTGAAATAATTGTCAAGGTCCAAATGTCCTCGCGTTTGCCACTGACTTCGAAACAGGAATTGCAAACTGAATGGAATCGTTTTTGCAAAATGTTGCAAAGTGGAAATTTTCATGTCAAGTTCAAAATACTTTATTTGAATTGTGTTCAATTCACAAAATCCTTTATTTGAATTGTGCTCAATTCACCATCAATCCCGAAACGAAAAGGCAATCAGAGCCCTTTCGCAGGAACATTTCGCAACGTGCTGCTGCTGCTGCTGCCGCTGCTGCTGCCGCTGCTGCCGCTGCTGCTGCTGCTGCTGCTGCGGGGCGCAGGCCGCTTCCTGGCGGAGCTGACGAAGGAAGTGATCAAAGACCTGGAGCAGCGGCGCTACCAGCAAGTGGAGTGGCGGCTTTCCATTTACGGCAGCCACAAAGACGAGTGGAGCCGCCTGGCCAGTTGGGTCATAGACAACCAGCTCGTTTCCGTCCGCGTCCGCTGGCTCATTCAGGTGCCCCGGTGAGGCCCCGCTGCTGCTGCTGCTGCTGCTGCTGCTGCTGCTGCTGCTGCTGCTGCTGCTGCTGCTGCTGCTGCTGCTGATTCTGCTGCTGCTGCTGCTGCTGCTGCTGCTGCTGCTGCTGCTGCTGCTGCTGCTGCTGCTGCTGCTGCTGCTGTGCTGCTGCTGCTTAGTCTAGCGGCAGCGCTCTGCTCGGCTTTTCGGCCTTGGGCCGCCCTGCTGCTGCTGCTGCTGCTGCTGCTGCTTGTCTGCTGCTTCCGTATTGGCAGCAGGCGGCGCTGCTGCAGCCTGGCCTGCGCTGCAGCTTGTATTACGTCTACCGCATGCGCGGCCAAGTCAAGAGCTTCGGAGATATGCTGGAAAACATTTTCGGGCCTCTCTTTGAGGCTGCATGCAGCCCCAGCAAACACCCCAAGATCTTCCAGCTGCTGCAGCAGGCAAGTCCGGGCAGCAGCGGGAAGATCTCTACCGCCCCTCAGCTGCTGCCTCTGCGCTCTTCTTCCAGCTGCTGCTCCGCTGCTCCTCTTTGCCGCGCCCTCCCCTGCATGCATGCATGCATGCATGCATGCATGCATGCATGCATGCACGCATGCAGCTGCATGCACTAGTGCTTTTATGCATGCCTGAAGCCATCATGCATGCAACGACACCATGCACGCGTGCTTGCACTCCCAAGCAGCCGCAAGCCCCCGCAACTTCAAATGCATGCACCCACGCATGCATTCGTGCATGCATTTGTGCATGCATGCATGCATGCATGCATGCATTTGTGCATGCATGCATGCATGCGTTTGTGGGTGCAGGTGGTGGGGTGGGACTCTGTGGACGACGAGTCGCATGTGTCGAAGTACACGATGGAGGGCGGCGAGCTGCCGCCGCCCGAACTTTGGGTCTCTGCCGATAATCCGCCTTACTCTTATTGGGGCTTTTACATGCATGCAAACATCCGGGCCCTCAACAGGCTGCTCTACCTGCAGGGCATTCGCCCCCTCGAGTTCAGGTGCGGCCCCAGCCGGGGGTTTAGGGTTTAGGGTTTAGGGTTTAGGGTTTAGGGTTTAGGGTTTGGGGTTTGGGGTTTAGGGTTTGGGGTTGGGGGGGAGGCGTGGCCCCGCGGTCTAGCGTGTAGAACGCCGTCAAGCAGCAGGGCCTGCGGGCTAGGGTCTAGGGTTTGGGCAGCAAGTCTGGAGAACACCAGCGAGCCACAGGGTTTAGGGTTTAGGGTTTAGGGTTTAGGCGCGGCGTCTGGCTAGCTGCTGGGCCTGCTTCTAGCTTAGTCCAGCGCCCATTTCAGCGAGCTGCTGCTGCGCAGCAGCAGAACCTGTCCCGGGGCCCCGCGGGGCCCCGACGGAGCCCCCTGGGGGCTCCCCGGGGGCCCCCGGACGCGCAAACGAGGAACGCCCAGTGCGAGTGGTGCAGCCCAGGCCGCACTGCGGGGAAGCCGGGAGCGTCTCGCACTTGGCGACGATGTTTCTGTTGGCCCGCGGAGTCAATCATGGGATTTTGTTGAAGAAGAGCCCCGTGCTGCAGTACCTCTTCTACCTGCAGCAAATTGGAATTGCCATGTCTCCCCTCTCCAACAACGCGCTTTTCCTCGAAGTTGGTGCGCCCCCGCTGCTGCTGCTGCTGCTGCTGGTATTGCTGCTGCTGCTGCTGCTGCTGCTGCTGCTGGTATTGCTGCTGCTGCTGCTGCTGCTGGTATTGCTGGTGCTGGTGCTGGTGCTGCTGCTGCTGCTGCTGCTGGTATTGCTGGTGCTGGTGCTGCTGCTGCTGGGATTGCTGGTGCTGGTGCTGCTGCTGCTGCTGCTGCTGGTGTTGGTGCCGCTGCTGCTGCTGGTGTTGCTGCTGCTGTTGCTGTTTCTGTCGCTCCTGCTGGCGCTTGTAGAGGTGCCTCTTAAAACCGATGCATTTGCCAGCTACTGCTGTGCTGCTGACATTGCTGCTGCTGCTGCTGCTGCTGCAGCAAAAAATCCTTTGTATTTATTCTTCAAGATTGGACTCAATGTTTCTCTATCTACTGATGACCCGCTGATGTTTCACTTCACTGACGAGCCCTTACTGGAGGAGTACTCTCTCGCTGCGGTACTGCTGCTGCCACTGCTGCTGCTGCCGCTGCTGCTGCTGCTGTTGCTGCTGCTGCTGCACGCGCTCGTTTCCGCTGGTGATATGGTGCTGCAGTGCGGGACATCGGTGCAGTCTGCTGCTGCTGCTGCTGCTGCTCCTCTGTGATGCGTCGCTACCGTCGGATCAGTTCTTTGTCCTGCTGCTGCTGCTGCTGCTGCATGAACTGCCGCTGCTGTTTGCTGCTGCTTGCTGCAGCACTACTGGAAGCTCACGCCGGTTGACCTGTGCGAGCTGGCCCGCAATTCGGTGCTGCAGAGGTCAGCTGCTGCTGTAGTAAGAGCAGCAGCAGCAACTGCTGCTGCTGATTCCGTTGCTGCTGCAGCTCTTGTTGTTTTTGCCGATATTGCTGCTGTTGGCGCAGCTCCGTGTTGCCTGCACTTGCTGCTTTTGCTGCTGCTGGTCTTGACGTCCCTGCTGTCCCTGCACTGAGCTGCTGCTGGCGAGCCCCTTGCTGTTGCTGCTGCTGCTGCTGCTGCTGCTGCTGCAGCGGGTTTGAGGACGAGTACAAGGCACACTGGCTGGGCCCGAAGTTTCGGCTGCCAGGCAAGAGAGGGAACTGCATGCGCCAGTCTAACGTCAGCGACATCAGGCTGCAGTACAGGTGCTGCTGCTGCTGCTGCTGCTGCTGCTGCTGCTGCTTTTGCTGCTGCCTCTGCTGCTGCTTGGGCCCCAGGGGTCGCTCACTGCAAGAGAACTCTAAGTAACCATGCGGGCTATTGCTTCTGCATCTGTGTCTGTTGTCCTGTTTTAGAGCTGCTGCTGCTGCTGCTACTAATGCCTGTGTTGCTGCTGCTGCTGCTGCTGCTGCAGAGAAGATACGCTGCGGGATGAGTTGTCTTACATGCACGACGTGCTGGCTCTGCGTCTGGCATTCCCCGACGGGGCCCCCGCAGAAGCAGCAGCAGCAGTTTGTTCCTCTTGCAGCAGCGTCAGTGCAGCAGGGCAGCAGCAGCAGCTGCTGCTGCACCGCCAGGTGTCTGCTGCTCCTGACTGCGCCCCTTGCAGCAGCTCCGTGCCGGAGGGCAGCACACCCGAAGCAACACTAGAGGCAGCAGCAGCAAAAGCTCTGCTGCTGCAAGTGGCAAAGGAAGTGTCCTCAGTCACTGATGGTAACCGCGGCAGCAGCAGCAGCAGCAGCAGCAGCAGCAGCAGCAGCAGTGCAGCAGCAGCGACAGACGAGGGAGAAGCTGGGGGTAAGCGCTGCGCTTGTTCTGCTGCAGCACTGGCAGTAGCAGCTGCAGCTACAGACTGCGTACATGCTTGTGGCTCTCCACAACGGCAGCAGCAGCTGCTGCTGCCGCTGCTGCTGCTGCTGCCGGTGCTGCTGCAGTGTGCTGCTGCACCAAGTGCATGTACACCCCAGCTCCTCCCTGCTGCCTCTGTCTCCTCAGGCAGTCAAAGTGCTGCCGACCGCTACAGCAAAGGGGCCCCCCTTCTTGTAGGTAATTACGGGGACAGCGGCAACGCTACATTCTAGAGCAGCAGCAGCAGCAGCAGCAGCAGCAGAAGCAGCAACAAAAAGCAGCAGCAGCAGCCGCAGCAGCAGTTGCAGCTTCGGGTCCACTGGGCAGGGCCCAATGGACGCAATGCACATTCGCGGCGGCGTCTCATGAGACGCAGCAGCAGCACGGGAAAACAAATGGGCTTTGAAGTGAAAGCAGTTGCAGCAGAAGCTGCTGCTGCTGCTGCTGCTGCTGCTGCTGCAGCAGCAGCAGAGTTCACAACTGCACTCCCTGTGCTGCTGTGGAACGGCGCAGAGTTCCTCCTGCCCGTTTCTGCAGATTCAAAGAACGGGGCTGCACCAGCCACCCCAGCAGCAGCAGCAGACTATTTGCTGCTGCTGCTGCTGCTGCTGCTGCTGCTACTGCAGCTTCTTTTGTCTCAGCAGAAGTCTCTGTTATACTTGGCCATCATAAATCGGATGGCATCCATCGTCGCCACTTCCTGCGAAACCGGCACACAGTTCGACGCAGTTGCTGCTGCATTGCTGTTGCTGCTGCTGCTGCTGCTGCTGCTGCTGCTGCTGCTGCTGCTGCTGTTGCTGCTGCTCGGCTAACCTTCGCGTAGTCGTAAGTTCTTTCGAGCGCTTTTTCCTTGGGCGTGTCCTTGGGTCCAGGAAGGGCCGTGTCCATGTCCCGCTGCTGCTGCTTCTGCTGCTGCTGCTGCTGCTGCTGCTGCTTGCTGCGGAGATACTCCACTGAGCCCCTGCTGCTGTCGCTGCATGCAACAGAGCTGTCGGGCCAGGGCACTATGACGCCGCTGCGGCGGGCGACACGGACTGCAGCAAACTCGCAGGCCAGCAGCAGCAGCAGCAGCAGCACTTCTTTCAATTTCAAACAAAAATAAATGCTTTTATTCCCTTTTTTCTCCTTTTTGCTGCACTTATATCTGCGGCAGCAGCGCGAAACTAAGCAGCAAAAAGAACAAGAGAAAGACGAAAACTGAAAGGAAGATTGAGCTGCAGAAGAGGACCAAACGCCGCAGCAGCAGCAAAACGCGCAGCAGCAGCGGCAGCAGCAGCAGCAGCGGCGCCAGCCAGTCTTTGCTTCTTTACCCGGTGCGCCCCTTTCGTCTCTCCGCAGGGCCAGGCGTGTCGGGATCCTGCTCCAGCAGCAGCAGCAGCAGCAGCAGCAGCAGCAGCAGCAGCAGCAGAGTGTACATACGCCCCACCAGCGCCAGTTTTCCCGCCGCCCCTTGCCATTTGGGGGCCCTTTGGGGGCCCTTTGGGGGCCCTTTGGGGGCCCTTTGGGGGCCCTTTGGGGGCCCTTTGGGGGGCCCCGTGAAGTTCCTTTTTGGGCCTCTCGGGGCCTCTTGGGGCCCCAGGGGCCCCCCAAAGACCCCAAAGGAGCCCGCAGAGGCCCCTCCAGCGCCCCTTGGGGGGCCCCTGGGGGGCCCCTGGGGGACTTCTGGGGGGCTCTTGACGGGGGCCCCTTGAGCGCCTTCTGGGGCCCTCAAGAGCCCCCAGGGGGCCCTTTTAAGGCCCCTAGGGGCCCCCGAAAGCCTCAAAGGCCCCCACAGAACCCTTTAGGGGCCCCTGGGGGCCCCCAAGAGCCTCCTAAGTCCCCAAGGGCTCCCATAGGGGCCCCTTGGGGGACCTCAGGAGCCTCCAGGGCCTCCACTACCCCCTGGGGCCCCCACGGGGGCCCTTTGGGGGCACCCGAAAGCCCCATGAGCCCCCTTGGGGGCCCTTTGGGGGCCCCCAAGAGCCCCCAAGGCCCCTATGGGGGCCCTTTGGGGGCCCCCAGGGCCCATACGGGGGCCCCTGGGGGCCCCCAGGGGGCCCCCAAAAGCCCTGAAAAGATATTGGTTTGCTGCTTACTCTGTGACGGGGTCGATGAGCATTGCGTTGGAAACATGCAAAAGGCCAGCGACCTTCACTTGATTGCCTTCTGCGTCTTTTATGAATCTCTGAAGTTCATAAAAAGAAGAAATAAATTAAAAATAAATTAAAAGAGGAATAAAAAAATAAAAATGAATTAAAAGAGGAAATAAATAAATAAAAATGAAATAGAAGAGGAAATAAATGAAAAGAAATGAATTAAAAGAGGAAATAAATGAAAAGAAATGAATTAAAAGAGGAAATAAATTGAAGGAAATGAATTAAAAGAAGAATAAATAAAAGAAAATGAATTAAAAGAGGAATAAATAAAAGGAAATGAACTAAAAGAGGAATAAATAAAAAGATGAAATAATTAAAAGATGAAATAAATAAAAAGATGAAATAAAATTAAAGGAGGAAACAAATTAAAAGATGAAATAATTAAAATGAAAATATGAAATAAAAACAAAGATGAAATAAAAATGAAAAGATGAAATAAATTTCAAGAGTGAAATTCAAAAAGATGAAACTAAAAAGATGAAATGAAATTAAATGAAATGAAATTGAAAAGATGAAATGAAATTTAAAAATGAAATAAAAATAAATAAATAAATTCAAAAAGGTGAAATGAAATGTTTTTGGTTTGTCCAGGAGTAATAAGATGGAGTGGAATGGAAAGAAATCAAATAATATGCTTTTTCTGCTAATTGCCCCTGTCCGCAGCAGCAGCAGCAGCAGCAGCAGCAGCAGCAGCAGCAGCAGCAACAGCAGCAGCAGCAGCAGCAGCAGCAATTTGTTTTGACCTCCTTCGCGCCTTCCACAGCAATTGCGTTTCGCATTTTGTCGATTTGCAAAATGCGGCCAACTGTTGACCGCCACTTCCCGCTTATTATCATTACCTGCAGCAGCAGCAGCAGCAGTAGCAGCAGCAGCAGCAGCAGCAGCAGCAGCAGCAGCAGCACAGCTCAGCGACAGTTCCTGCTGCTTTCAGCCGGCAACGCGTCCACCCCACCAACTCGTGCTGCAGCAGCTACTGCAGCAACAAATGCTGCTGCTGGAGCTGCGCACCTAGCAGCAGCAGCAGCAGCAGCAGCAGCAGCAGCAGCAGCAACAGCAGCAATGGCACCCCAAAAGGCAAACACAGCAGCAGCAACAGCAGCCAGAGCAGCCGCAGCAGCAGAAACGGAGTCCTCAATTCCAAACGCAGCAGCAGCAGAAGCAGCAGCAACAGCAGCAAAGGCAGGACATCCCCAAAGTCAAAGAAAGCAGCAGCAGCAGCACTCCCAGAATCAGACACACAGAATCAGATACAGCAGCAGCAGCAGCAGCAGAAGCAGCAGCAGCAGCAGCAGCAGCAGCAGCACCTTGTCTCCTGGCCTGAGCTTCCATTGCAGTATCCAGTTGCGGGGGTGGACAAACTTGAGGCCCCGTTGCTGCTGCAGCAAATGTGGCTGCTGCAGCGCCTGCACGCGTGCTGCTGCTGCTGCAGCCGATCCTGCTGCTGCTCCTGTTGCTGCTGCTCCTGTTGCTGCTGCTCCTTTTGCTGCTGCTGCTGCAGTTGCACAGCCACAGGCTGTGGGCCCCCAGGCCCGCAGCAGCAACGCCATTTGGGCCCGGAAGTTTCCCGCTGCTGCTGGGTTTGCTGCAGCAGCTACTGATGAGTTTGCTGCAGCAGCTGCTGCTGAGTTTGCTGCAACAGCTGCTGATGAGTTTGCTGCAGCAGCTGCTGCTAGGTTTGCTGCAGCAGCTGCTGCTGGGTTTGCTGCAGCAGCTGCTGCTGGCTTTGACGGGTCGGAAAGAGCTGCTGCTCTTTTCCCTGGCGGCAGTTCTGCTGCGACGCGAGCACGCGGACTGCCTCAGCAGCAGCAGCAGCAACAGCAACAGCAGCAGAAGCAACGGCAGCAGCAGCAGCAGCAGCAACAGCAGCAGCAACAGCAGCAGCAACAGCGCTGCGTCGCCTTCGAAGCTCTAAAGAGCTTGGCAGGCTTGCTTGCTGTCTGCAGCAGCAGCAAAAGCAGGCAGCTGCAACAGGAAGGCAGCACCGACACGCTGCTGCTGCTGCTGCTGCTGCTGCTGCTGCAGCAAACGGAGTGCACCTTCACCTAAACTTGTACCTTTAATTTCAATTTTTAAAATAAAATTGAAAATATAACACAAAAATATATATTAAGAAAGAGGGTCTTAACTGGGGCCTCATTAATGGGGCCCCGGGGGCCCCCGGGGCCCCCAGGGGGCCCCCAGGGCCCCCTGCAGCTTCTGACCTCCCAGCTGGTGGCCAGCAGCTGCTGCACACGGGGAGTTTTTCGTTCTTATTGCTTTTAGAATTAAATTAATTTAAATTATTTATCAATTTGTTCTTTTATTTAATTGGAATATCAGTGTGAGTGCGCAGCAGCAGCCGCTAGCCATCGGCAGCAGCAGCAGCAGCAACGCTTTGAGCTGCTGCTGCTGCGCCATCCCCCTCAGTCTTGCCCGCATCATGCGTCTTGCTGCTGCTGCTGCACCTGCTACCGTGTGCTGCTGCTGCTTCTGCAGTGTGCTGCTGCTGCCACCGTGTGCTGCTGCTGCTGCCGCTGTGTGCTGCTGCTGATGATGCGGTGTGTTGCTGCTGCTGCTGTTGCTGCTGCTGCTGCTGCAGCTCTAGAAGCCATGTCTGAATCAGAAGTTCGCCTCGAGTTTGTGCAGCAACTTGCCCGAGATGTGGAGCCCCTGATCATGGAGGGCTTCGGCTGCGGGTGTCGCAGCAGCAGCAGCAGCAGCAGCAGCAGCAGCAGCAGCAGCGGCAGCAGCAGCGGCAGCAGCAGCTGCGCCAGGACAAAGAGCTCAGCAGCAGATCTTGTTACAGAATATGACACGCGAGTGGAAGAGACTCTTAAAGAAAAAATAAGAGAAAAATTCCCCAGCCATTCCTTTTTCTGCGAAGGTTAGCTGCACCGCTGCTGCTGCTGCTGCTGCTGCTGCTGCTGTTGCTGCTGTTGCTGCTGCTGTTGTTGCTTCTGCTGTTGCGGAGGACTCAGCTGGCATTGCTGCTGCTCTTTGCTGCTGTTCGCTGTTGATGCGGTGCCGCTGCATTTTTTGCTGCTGCTGCTGCTGCTGCTTCCTCTGCTGCTGCTGCTGCTGCTGCTGCTGCTGCCCGTTTTTGCTCTGCCGCCATTGCTGCAGCGACTGCAGCTCCCCATGCTGCTACTGCTGCTGCTGCTTGCCCCCATGTTGCTGCTGCTGCTGCTGCAGTTGAATTTAATTATAATTAAATAATATTTTTTTTTTCCTTCCGCAGAATCTGTTACTCCAAACCAGAAGCTGACGGACGAGCCCACGTGGATTATTGACCCTGTCAGTGCTGCTGCTGCTGCAGCTGCTGCTGCTGCTGCTCCTGTTGTTGTTGTTCCTATTGCTGCTGCTGCTCCAGTTGCTGCTGCTGTTGCTGCTGCTGCCCTCGCTGCTGCCCCTTCTGCTGCTGCTGCTGCTGCGGCTCTTGCTGCCCTCGTTCGCGCGGCTGCCCTTCCAGCGGGAGCGTTGAGTCTCTCAAAGGATTCTGCTGCTGCTGCTGCTGCTGCTGCTGCTGCTGCTGCTGCTGCTGCTGCAGATTGACGGAACAACGAACTTCGTGCACGGCTTTCCCCTCACTTGTGGTAAGCTTCCTGCTGCTGCTGCTGCTGCTGCTGCTGCTGCTGCTGCTGCTGCTGTGGGCGCGGGCCTGCACTTGCTGCTGCAGCTTGCGCTGCCTTTCTTGCTGCTCCTCTCGGGTGTATGTACAGTCTCAATTGCCTTCTCCCGAAATAAAAAAGTTCTTCTCGGAGTTGTTTATTCTCCCTTAACTGTGAGTCAACGGGGGGCCCCTCGGGGGCCCCTGTGGGGGCCCACAGGGGCCCCTGTGGGACCTTGTGGGGCCCCGGGGGCCCCCAAAAGAAGTTTAAAGTGCTCATAAGAAGCAGAAGATGCCATTAAGCATTAATATGTCTTTTATGAATAAATAAAAAGTTAAATGCAACTAAAATTAATTAAAAATAAAAGCCATTTGTTTGCAATTTCACTCATCTCATATTTGCTGCACCACTGCGCCCCCAAGGGGCCCCTGGGGGCCCCAAAGCCCAGCGGCACCTGTAGGGTACTTGGCCTTTAAACTTAAAGGGGCCCCCGGGGGGCCCCCCGGGGCCCCAGGGGGGCCCCCTGGGGCCCCCGGGGGCCCCCTGGGGCCCCAGGGGGGCCCCCTAGGGCCCCAGGGGCCCCCCAGGTTCTGTATGGGTCTTGCGGGTTCGCGGTGGTCCATTTTGAGTGTCGTTTGGCTGGCTGGGTGGGCCCCTAATGCTGTTGCTGCTGCTGCTGCTGCTGCTGCTGCTGCTGCTGCTGCTGCTGCAGAAGGAAATGTTCAGCGCAGAAAGAGGCAAAGGGGCCCACCTTAACGGAGTGCCCATAAAGAGCTCGGGGTGTACAGACATTGGAGCGGCTCTTGCCTGTGTCTCTTTCGGCGTCTCCACGCTGCGGCAGGTGCGTCTCTGCTGCTGCTGCTGCTGCTGCTGCTGCTGCTGCTGCTGCTGCTGCTGCTGCTGCTGCTGGTGTTGCTTGTTGCTGCGCTGCTTCTCGCTGCTGCTGCAGCTGTTGCTTCGGCGGCAGCGGTGCTGCGTCGAGCCACCTGCCTACTGCTGTGTTGCTTTTGCCACTGCTGCTGCTGCTGCTGCTGCTGCTGCTGCTGCTGCTGCTGCTGCTGCTGGGCGCAAGGCCTCGCTTTGTGTGCTGCTCTGCATGCAGCTAGAAATAACAACAGACGAAACACGTCGGGCCTACCTCAAAAGATTTCAAGGTAAGCTTCACCTCACAAACCCAGGGGGCCCCCCAAGGGGGGCCCCCCAAGGGGGCCCCCCAAGGGGGGCCCCCCAAGGGGGGCCCCCCAAGGGGGGCCCCCCAAGGGGGGCCCCCCAAGGGGGGCCCCCCAAAGGGGGTTTACTTTAAAAGGGCCCCATTAGAGAGCCTCATCATGTGTTGTCATCAGGGGGCCCCATTATTCAGGGGGCCCCTCAGGGGTTTCCTCCAGGGGCCCCCAACAGGGGGGCCCCGCAGTGGTTCTTTCAGGGGGCCCCCAAAAGGGGCCCCAGGGGGCCCCCAAAAGGGGCCCCAGGGGTCCCCCAAAAGGGGCCCCAGGGGGCCCCCAAAAGGGGCCCCAGGGGGCCCCCAAAAGGGGCCCCAAGGGGCCCCTTCTTCTTGAGTTTATCTGTTCACCTTCTAGTTGGATCTGCAGTTAGAAGTGGCCTTATTAGTGTGTTTGTCAAACTTGTTTGCTGCTGTGCTTGTTTTGCTGCTGCTGCTTTTGCTGCTGCTGCTGCGCTTGCCGTGCTGCTGCTGCCTCTGCTGCTGCTGTTGCTGCTGCTGCTGCTGCTGCAGAATGCGTACTGAGCAATGTGGGTTATTTGACACTCAACTGTCTAGACATTCGACACATCGGCAGCACAGCAATGGAGCTGTGTTATCTCGGTAAGCTGGGGGTTTAGGGTTTAGGGTTTAGGGTTTAGGGTTTAGAGTTTAGGGTTTAGGGTTTAGGGTTTAAGGTTGTTGTTCCTTCTGCACTTGGTTACGCCGGGGCTATTCGTTTCCCCCAGAGCTGCTTTCTCTTTAGCGAGCTGCTGCAGTTGCTGCTGCTTTTGCTGCTGCTTTTGCTGCTGCTGTTGCTGCTGCTGTTGCTGCTGCTCTTGCTGCTGCTGTTGCTGCTGCTTGTACGGCTGCTGCTGCTGGCAGTTTCTTGTGTGCTGCCTGCTGCTTTGCTGCAGCTGCGGGCCGGCTGGACTGCTTAGTCACCTTTGGACCTAAGGAATGGGTAAGTCGAGGGTTTAGGGTTCAAGGGTTTAGGGTTTAGGGTTTAGGGTTTAGGGTTTAGGGTTTAGGGTTTAGGGTTTGTGGCATGCGAGAGGCTCAAGAAGCCACGCTGAAGGCTTCCAGCTGTAGCAGCAGCAACTCCAGGTGTACGTACACTCGTAGTTAAGTGGAGCTGCCCCTCAGAGCCTCAGGGGCGTCAAACTGCTGCAGCGCTAAACCCTAAACCCCAAACCCTAAACCCTAAACCCTTGCTGCTGCCTCCGCCTCGCGCAGGATCTTGCTGCTGGCTGTCTTATCTTGGAAGAGGCCGGCGCCGTCTGCAGCGTCCTGCGAGGCAACCAGCCCGTGAGCAGCAGCAGCAGCAGCAGCAGCAGCAGCAGCAGCAACACCTGCAGCAGCAGCACCTGCAGCCGCACCTGCAGCAGCAGCAGCCGCACCTGCAGCAGCAGCAGCCGCACCTGCAGCAGCAGCAGCAGCAGCCGCAGCAGCCTCGCATGCCAAGTAGAGGGCCACGAGACTATCTATTTGCTGCTGAAGTTTTCTTTTTTAATAATTAATTATTTTCTTTTTGCTTCATTTGCTTCTTGCTGCAGCTGGACTTGTCAAAACATGAAGTATTGGCTGCAGCAACACCGCAGCTGCTTTCAGTTTGTCTCAAACACCTCAAGTCGCCATAGTTGTCAGAGGCCCCCAGGGGCCCCCTAGGGGGCCCCTACAGGCCTTAGGGGCCCCTAGGGGGCCCCTTGGGGGCCCCTTGGGGGCCCCTAGGGGCCCCCTAAACCTCTAGGAACCCCCTAGGGGGCCCCTAGAGGGTTGTTGAGGGGCCCCTAGGGGCCCCCAGGGGCCCCTAGATAACCCCCAGGGGACCCCAGGGGCCCCCTAGGTGCCCTCAAGGGGCCCCAGGGGGCCCCCGGGGGCCCCCAAGGCTTGAGGGGCCTCTAAGGGCCCAGAATGAAGGGGCCCCCGACACAGAAGGGGGCCCCCTGGTACTTGGGGGGGCCCCCAAGTACCAGGGGGCCCCCTCTTCGGATTTTGGCTGCCAAGACCCCACAAAGGGTCCTTTTGGGGCAACTGCCCCACAGGGAACTTAAAGTGAACTTGGGGGCCCCCAACACCAAGGGGCCCCGGGGGCCCCTCTTGTGCCAAGGAACTGGGGGCCCCGGGGGCCCCTGTTTGGCCCTAGGGGCTGGGGTGCCCCGGGGCCCCCTCTTGTGCCAAGGGACTGGGGGCCCCCGGGGGCCCCTGTTGTGCCAGGTACCTGGGGGCCCCCGGGGCCCCTAATGTGAAAAGCAGCTGGGGAACCCCGGGGGCCCCCCGGGGTCCCTAATGTGGAAAGGGGCGGGGGCCCCCCGGGGGGCCCCTAGTCTGGAAAGGGTATAGGGGCCCCCAGGGGCCCCTAATGTTACGAGGGTCTGGGGGCCCCTGTTGCTGCTGTGTGTGCGCTGGGGCTTCAAAAGCCGCTGCGGGCTTTTGTGGGGTTGAGCTGGGGTGTACGTACACCCCAAGTTTGGTGGCCCCGAGGAAATCTGCTGCTGGGCCCCAGGGGCCCCCCGAGCTGCTTAGGGGCCCCTGCAACTGCAGCAAAACCCTAAACCCTAAACCCTAAACCCTAAGTTTGGTTGTGAACGGAGGCAGCGAGGGAAGCCTCTGGCAGACAAAGAGCAGTTGAGTTAATGCTAAGCTCTAGCTGCTGCTCATTCTTTTTGACTAGGGTTTGTGGGCTCTAGGGGCCCCAGTGTGGCTGCAGGGGCCCTCGAGTAAACCCTAAAAGCAAGCAAACCCTAAACCCTAAACCCTAGGAGCTGCTTTGCCCGCGCCGCCAGCTGCAGGCGCCTTGGGCGGAGTTGCAAGTGCGCAAAGTCTTTAAAGAGTTTTAATTGTGAAGAGCTGCTGGCCGAGTGGTTTGCAGCGGCGAGGCTGCGGTGTACGTACACCGCGTGGGCTGTGGGCGGCAGCGGCCGCGGCGAGGCGCAGTGTCTAGACACCTGGGGAGCTTCTGGGAGCGCCAGAATGCACTCGAAGAACTTTAAATAATAAAAAAGTGTTGAAGTTTCGAAGCTGCTGCGAAAGGCGCGGCGGGAGGCTCTGCGGCGATCGGCGAGCGGAGCCAACTAGCTGTTGCGGGCGGCTGGCCGCAGGGCCTGGGGTGTACGTACACCCGATTAAAGGTGGAAAGCTCTATTTTTTGAGACTTTATTTCATTTTAAATTAATTTCTCCGGCAGGAAAGCTGCGTTGCGGCGCGGAGGGCGCGCGGCTGGCCGGGGCGCGGCGCGGCGTGCCCGTGGCTGTTTCGAGTTGGCGGCGGGAACCGGGGGGAAAGCTGCGGAAAGCAAAGCTTTGTGGCGGTCAAAAGTAATATTTATGCAAAGTTTGTTTGGAAATATAATTAAAAAGCGAAGGCGGGATTAAATTCGGGGTTCGAGCTCGTGGCCAGCCCCCCGCGGCGCGAGCTCGAGGCCGGCTGCTGCTGCCAGCAGTTCACGACGGCTCGATGCTGCAGCAGCAGCTGCTGCTCCATAATTTCCAAAGTGTTACAAAGTTTTGCCTTTTCTTTTTCTCCTTTTTCTCCGTTTAACAACAGAACTTTTCCAAGAAGTGCAGCTTCTCTCCGGCGTAGGCTTCGCGGGACCAAGTGGGTTTCGGGTGTATAGCCACCTCTGCATCCTGCGTGCATCGGCTGCGCTCCGCCGCCGCGATCTCGCCTTCATTTCCTTTTCTTTTGCCTTTTTTGTTTCTTTTTCGACAAAAGTGAAGAGTTTTTTGCATTTATTTCGCGTTTTAACTCCGAGTTTCGCGTTTGTTCCGCCTCCGACTCGCCGCGGCCGACGCGCGGGCTCGCGCGGCTGCGCCGCTCTTGCTGCTGCGTTTCGCGTTTGCTGCTGTTCGTTTTCCCTTTTGCGGCGTTTCTTTTGCTTTCTTTCGCCTTGCTGCTGCCTCTTGCTGCTTCTCTTCCCCTTTCTCTGGGTCCGCAGCTGCTGCTGCGCTGCTGCTGCGCTGCTGCTGCGCTGCTGCTGGTCCGCCGCTGGTCCGCCGCTGGTCCGCCGCTGGTCCTTGGCGGCTTTCGCCGGCTGCTGCTGCTGCTGCTGCTGCTGCTGTTTCTGGGGTTAGGGTCTCGGGGTGCGGCTGGCTGGGCTGAGCCATCCGCTGCTGCTGCTGCTGCTGCTGCTGCTGCTGCTGCTGCTGGTGTTTGCAGGCGCGAAAATGAACAAGAAGGAGGATGTGACCGCCCCTGGCGAGGGGGTGGACGTCCTCGTCCAGCCGCTGCCGCACCCTTCGCGTCCCGCGGACTTATCCGGCTTCGAGTTCCCGCAAGCCGCCTTCCAGCAGCAGCAGCAGCAGCAGCAGCAGCAGCAGCAGCAGCAGCAGCAGCAGCAGGAAGCGCAGCAGCACGAGGCCGACGAGTCGCCCGCGTCTCGCTCCGCGTTCCCCGGCTTCGGCGCCGCAACCGCCCCGCTGCACAGCACAGTGCCCTGCAGCAGCAGCAGCAGCAGCAGCAGCAGCAGCAGCAGCAGCAGCAGCAGGATTCCGCCGCAAGTAATGACAGCACTTGGCCCCATGCCGCTGCCAGCAGAGGTCCGCAGGCGCATCCCCGAGAAGTTCGTCGCGAGGCCAATTATTGAAGAAAGAGAAATTTACATCGCGAAAAAAGAAGTCCAAGAAAGAACCATCGAAGTGCCGCACGTGCACTACGCGCACAAGTTCGCTGCAGTGCCGCAGCGGCTGCGAGTGAAGAAGCTAATTCCGACTGTCACCGAAGTTGTCAAAGAAGTCCCCAAAGAGGTCTATAAACCAGTTGTTGAAGAGAAAATAATTGAAGTCCCGCAGGGGGTCAAATATGTCGAAGTCCCCGTCGAAGTCCCGTGTCTCTACCCCCCAAAGATCGTCCCCAAGCCCAAGGTCCAGCTGGTCGAAAGAGTGGTCCAGACCATTAGACCAGTGGTCAAGGAGGCGGTGGTGGAGGTGCCGCAGACAGTGGTCAAGCAAATCCCCAAGTTGAAGACTGTGGAGGTCCCTTACTACGTGCCTCGCTATGTGGAGAAGGTCATTGAAGTGCCTTACCAGCCTCCTGCTGCTGCTGCTGCTGCTGCTGCTGCTGCTGCTGCGCTGCCCCCCATCCTCAGCGGCGCTCTCCCTGCTGCTGTTGCTGCCAACTTGCTGCTGCCCTTCCGCCTCGGGCCGCTGCCGCTCTCCAGCTGCAACTCTTTGTCTTTGCCTTACGAGGCCAAGATCGACGTCCAGATAGCGCAGCAGCCCCACTTGCTGCTGCAGCAGCAGCAGCAGCAGCACAACCCCGCAGCCACGCTCGTCTCCCCCAGCAGCAGCAGCAGCAGCAGCAGCAGCAGCAGCAGCAGCAGCGGGGCCCCCATCGAGCTCGTGGAGGGCTTCAAGTGGGGCGCGCCGCCCAACGCCCCGCCGCTGAGCCCGCTGGCGCCCTTCTGCCCCCCCCCGGCGCCCGCGGGGGCCCCCCTGGGGGCCCCCCTGGGGGCCCCCCTGGGGGCCCCCTGGGGGCCCCCGGGGGCCCCCGGGGGCCCCCCGAGAGCCCTCGCGCCCGACGGAGACCCCCGGATGCCCCACATGCCCCCCCTGATGGTGACTTGCCCCCCAGAAGTCGGCCAAGTCAACTTCGCGGGCTTTGTTGCTGAACCCGACATCTTAACTCGGCAAGGAGTTATGGCCTACTCGGGCTTCCGCAGCAGCGGGAACTTCCAGCTGCTGTTTCCGCCGCTGCCGCCGCAGCCGGGGGTGCCCATGGACCCCCCGGGGACTCCTGACGTCCGCACGCTGCAGCAAACCAGCTGCTTCCTCCCCGAGCAGCAGCAGCAGCAGCAGCAGCTGCCTCAGCTGCAGCAAAAGGCACTCCAGATCCAGCAGGAGTACCTCGAACCCACCCCTGGCTGCTGCGGACAGCAGCCACCACCCCCAGCAGCGCCACCCGTCTACGAGCAGTAGAGAGCGAGCTTGGGGGCCCCCGGAGGGGTCTTGGGGGCCCCAGAGGGGTCTTGGGGGCCCCCGGAGGAGTCTTGGGGGCCCCAGAGGGGTTTTGGGGGCCCCGGAGGGGCCTTAGGGGCCCCGAGGGGGGGTCTTGGGGGCCCCGGAGGGGTCTCGGAGGGGCCCCGGAGGGGTCTTGGGGGCCCCAAGGGGGGCTCAGGGGGGCCCCTAGGGGGCCCCCAGATCTTTAGGGGCCCCGAAAGTCCTGAGGGGTGCCCAGGAGGGGCCCCTGGGGGCCCCCGAGAAGTTTATTTAATAAAAGGCTTTGGCTATTTAGTGGAGGGAGTGGCGTGTGTACAGGAGTGGAGATTTGTGGAAAAAAGATTAAATTGGATTATCTTTGACGCAAAATGCATGCGTTGTTGCTGCTGCTGTTCTGAACTTCACTTCTTTATGTATTTAGGAGTTCAGGGCTTCGAGGTGTGGGGCCTGCGGTGTACGTACACCTCAACTGGCAAGTGCGGGGACACTTTATTTATGCTGCGAAGCCGCCCCAAAGCCGCATGCATCTCAGGGCCTAAAATTTAAGCCCGACAAACTTTTAAGCTTTGTTCCGTTCTTTTCCTTCTTCAAAAAGGGTTTAGGGTTTAGGGTTTAGGGTTTAGGGCTTAGGGTTTAGGGTTTAGGGTTTGGAGTTGGGCTGAGAGCGTCGTCAGCAGCTCCTTAATAACTGGCAAGGCGCCATGAAATAAACTCAAGTAGATGAAGGCCAGTCACAGAGAAGAGCTTTTTTTGCAACTTGTTCAAATAATATTTTTAAAAATAAAAATATAAGTAATATATATTAAATAAAATAAATATAAATATAAATATAAATATAAATATAAATGTGCGCACAAACGCGTATGCGCATGCTGGCAAAGAAGCCAAATCAAGATTGCGCAAACTGCATGAACTCATTTTCGCGAATTAGTTGCATTCTTTTTGGATTTTAAATTCATTTTAGTGAATTAAAAGTATTCTTTTTCAATATTAAACTAATTTTCATGAATTCGTTGTCTTCTACTTCGAAATAAACTCTTTTTCACGAATCCGTTGCGTTCTTTTCTCGCGTGTGCGCTGCCACGGTGTACGTACACCTGAACGCATGCGCAGGCGTAGAAACAAATAATAAAATAGTTTTTGCAAAATAAATATTTGTGAAAACAAATTTCACGAATATTTATTTTTTAAAAACTATTTTATTATTTATTTCTCAATTATCTCTTCTACAAATGCCAGATAAAGGGCTGTAAGTGCATCTTGTTGTTTTATTTTTTGTTCTTCTTTCTTGGTGTATCTGCTTTCTTTTTTGTTTTATTTCTGTTTACTCTTTTGCTTTTTTGCTAATTTGTTTTAATTTACTTTGCCAATTTGTCTCAATTCATTTCTTTATTTCTTCTCTCTTGTTCTTACTTCTCCGTTTATTTGCTTCTCTTAAAAGACAAAAAGTGGAAATAAACTTTATTTATTTTTTGCTGCTTTTCAACTGCAGCAAAAACAGAGTCCCACAAAAGCAGCTGCAGTTAAATTTGCTTCAAGAGACAGACAGTTCAGATTGTCTTTAAAGAAATCAGATTTGCATTTTAACATTATTTTCATTTTAATAATATTTTAACTTTAATATCATTTTCATTTTGCAAAATAAATATTTCGCAAGATAAATACCTTACAGAATAAGTATTTTGCAGAACAAATATTTTGCAAAATAAATATTTTGCAAAATAAATATTTTGCAAAATAAATATTTTGCAAAATAAATATTTTGCAAAGTAAATATTTTGCAAAGTAAATATTTTGCAAAATTAATGTTTTGTGGCGGAATTAAATTTGCAAAAAGGACTTTAGAAGTTAAATTCAAAATTAAAAATTGTTGCAATTAAAAGAAAGCGAATTTTGCCTTTATGAATTGCTGCAGTTGGCCCAGAGGAAATAACGGGGCGATTTAGTGCAGCAAAATTGGAAAAGTTAAACTGAAATATATTTCCAAATTTGAAGCAAAAGACTTAATTTGTTGAAGACAAAAGTGAAAGCGAGCAGCAGCCAGCTATGCAGAAATCCAAAAAGTCCAAAAAAGATTTAATGAGAGTTTTTGCAGCTTTTGAACTGCAGGGGAGTTTGCCGCAAACGCGTGGAGTGTACGTACACCCCAAGTTACCGTGGGCCGGCGATTGCGCCGCAGCGGCGGCAAATGTGCGGAATAAAGCGGCTAAAAAGGCTTTAAAGTGGCACTTGTGCTCGAAATAATATAAACAATTTGTTTTGGAGATCCTGTAATGCATTTAAGGGGCCAAATGTTCAAGAGTTGTCCAGAGCTGCGAGGTGTGCAGTGGCAGCGCCAGCGGAGCAGCAGGAAGGAGGTACGGCAGGTCGGGAGAAAGCGAAAAGACGCAGTTGAGATTTCTGAACTGAAAAGTAAATTAATTTTGAAGTTTTGTTTGCAAAATCGACAGACAGCAGCAGTTGCTGCGGGCAGCAGTGGCAGCAGCACTCACTCGAGGCCGCGTGGTGTGGCTGAGGCTCTGGCGGCGGCTGCGGCGGCGGCGGCTGGCGATTTGCGAAATTTAAAAAGGAAAACGAAAACAAAATGCATTTATTATTCGAAGCAGCACTTTATAATTTCCGATTTCATTTCCTTCAACGCGAATCCGCGCGCGCCGTCCAGAGCGCCGCTGCCAACCGCGCAAACCCTCCGCCGCCGTTCTCTGCGGTTTTTTCTTCTTTTTTCCCGCGATCTTCTCCTTTTCTGATTAAACTTTTCCAATTTCCTCCAATTTTCCCGAGTTGGGGCCCCTGGCTGCGCGGCGGGCCGCGAAACTCCCGCTTTCGCTGTCTTGCTGCGGCCATCGAGACTTGAACTGGGCCAAACTGCAGCAGCGCGGCCGCCTCACAGCCAATTTCGCCTTCTCCAGCCCCCATGGGGAACTCCCCCGCGCTGTTGGCTCTCAGGAGCGACAAGTACATCCCCCAGTCCGTGGTGCTGATCACGGGCGCCACCAAGGGAATCGGAAAGGTGCTGCTGCTGCTGCTGCTGCTGCTGCTGCTGCTGCTGCTGCTGCTGCTGCTGCTGCTGCTGCTGCTGCTGCTGCTGCTGCTGC